TTGTGAGCGCCGTCTCGTACTGCATGCGGGATTATCATGGTTAGCAAAAAAACTGGCCCCCATTTTTCTATTGTTGTTTGTTGTTGATGAGCTGGGGGAGTTGGAGGTAAGGTTGTGAAAGCTGGGATGATCGTGAGGGAAAGAGAGAAGGTGAAGGAAATAGAGACGGGGGTGGGAGGATGCTGCAGAAGCAGCAAGGGCGTAGGGGGAAGGTAGCTACTACTGTATGTAGGTATGGTATGGTGTGGGATGGGATGTAGCTGCCTGCCTGCCTGCCCTGTGAGAAGCAGGCGTGACACGATGGGGCAGGGGTGTTACGCGCTGAAGGAAGGGTATGCAGCACGATACGATATCGGCGAGAATAGCCTAAGCACAACAGAAGTAACGCAGTATGGATAGGGGAGAGTGGAGTGATGAGTGCTGATGCTGATGCTTAGAGACGCCGACTACACCCCGGCCCCGTGAATTGGAAGGACAGTCAAGGGCTGCGGTGCTTAGAAACACAGACACAGACTCCCGGAAATGAGGAAGATGTGGGAATCAGGCAATGGGCATGGGGGGGAATACGGTAGATGGTGATTTGAAATAGCATCGTAATTGAGAGAGAGGGAATAATCGTAATTGTAATCATTGTAGGAGCAGAGCGGATGCAGGGAGAGAGTATGGGTATGGGTATGCATGGGTATGGGTAAAGGTAATAATAAAATGAAGATAACTCAAAACAACATTCGAGCCATCCAGGATACCACGAATTGCGTACCAATTCGAAAAAGGCACAGACAAGCACCGTAATCAAAAAAGAAGTGCAAAAAAAGACTCAAACTCACATTCTCAATCGCCCTCCCCCACTGCTCCAACCCCGCCAAACAATGCCCCAGATTCACCAACGCATGCGCATCCCTCGCCAGCGTCTCCTTCACCTTTGTAAACACCTGCACGGCACTCTTCAAATCCTTCCTATCCTCCACCATCGCAATCGCCACGCCCTGCGCCGCATACGCATTCTTCGGATCCAGCTGCAGCGCCTTATCAAAAAACTCGACGGCCTTCTCATACGTCTTCCGCCGCTTCTCCTTCTCCGCCTCACTATCCCGCCGCATCTCTCTTGCCGTGAGCAGATACAGATTGCCCATGCCCGTGAGCGAGTAGCGGTCGTGCTTGTCGTGGTACTGCAGGCTGTGCTTGTAGTGGCGCTGCTCGGGGTCCTCGGCGATGTTGATGGCCGTCTTGCGCTTCTGCTTGCCCAGGTACCACCCGTACAGCGCGCGCACCTCGAGGTTGCTCCCGTCGCTCTGCATCAGCCGCTGGATGCGCCGCGGCCCTTCCTCGCCGCCGCGCCGAAGCGCCATGTATGCGAGCCGCATGTTGGCGTCGACGTAGTCGTCGTGCCGCGCGAGCAGCTGCTCGTACTGCTTTGTCGCCTCGTCGAGGTTGCCGGCGGCCTCCTCGCAGCGCGCGAGGTTGTAGGTGAGCGTTGTGGCGAGCGCGTCGGTGTCGGCGGTGTCGTCTTTCTCTTTGAGCTCGGGGATGGAGCTGAGGGCGGTCTGGTAGAGCTGCCGGGCGAGGTCGTATTTCTCGTTGTGCCAGTGGAAGGTGGCCATGTTGTTGAGCAGCTGCAGGGGCACCATGGTCTCGTCGTCGGTCTCGCGCAGCTGGGTGTAGATGTCGTGCACGGCCTGCAGGCAGGAGAGGGCTTTGTCGGGCTGGTCGTTCTCGTAGAGGCGCGCGAGGGTGAGGAGGAGGGCTTCGCGGGTTGGGTCCGTCTTTTTGTCTTTCCAGGTTGCGCGCACGCTTTCGAGGAGGTGGATGGCGCGGCGGTGGAGGTCCGTTACGTCTTCTTTGGAGGCGGCGAAGCCGGTGCGCGGGATGGATTGGAGGACTTCGTGCGCGTAGAGGGTGCCGAGGATGGTCTTTGCTTCGAGGCATTTGGGGTAGCTTTGGACGACGGCTTCGAATGTGTATTTGGCGGAGGAGATGTCTGCGGGTTGTTGTTAGACTTCTGTAGAGTGATATGTAGTGTAGTGGAATGGAATATAAGAAAAAACAAACCTTTCATCAAGACCTGAACCTGCCCAACCCCTAGCTTAGCGGGCAGCCATCCCTCGCGGAGACTGTCGCTCCGCCGGTAGTACGTCAATGCCTTCTCCCAATCGCCCTCCGCGTGCCACTTGCGCCCCAACAGATACCACCCGTCCGCCGTCACAGCCGCAACATCGCTGTACTCAATCGCCTTCTTCGCGAGCGCCTCACACTGCGTGTACCCCTTCTTCGAGAAGAAGTGGCTCGAGAATGTCGTGCACGCCATGGGGAAGTTCTTATCAATCTTGTACGCCTTCTGCGTGTGGTCAATGACCTGTCTGTAGTTCTCCATAAACTTCGGATCATACTCCGGCGTCGCCGCCGTGACACTGAGATGATACAGCGCCAGCAGGATGTGCGCAACCTTCGACGCGGGGTCGAGCTCGAGCGCGCGCTCCCACGCGATCGCGGCGTCGTCCTTGTGCCCCAGGTTCCAGAAGCAGAGGCCGATGCCGAGGCGCGGGTCCGGGTCCATGTCGGGCCGCTTGAGCAGCACCTCCTGGTAGCACTCGAGCGCCTTGTCGAAGCGGCGGCGCGCGTACAGCACGCGCGCCTTGCCGAGCGTGGCGAGCATGTTGCCGGAGCGCGAGCTGCGGATGGCGTCGTCGAAGATCTTGGTGGCCGTGTCCAGGTGGTGGCCCTTCTCCGTGGAGGTGGAGACCGAGGCTTTGAACACGGAGTAGACGCCGCGGGCGAGGCCCGAGATGACGGATGAGGGGTCGAGGCGCGAGGACTCGTTGAGCGCTTGGGTGGCGAGTTGGAGGTAGTAGTCTTTTGTCTTTGCCTCTGATGCTATCGCCCCTTCTGTACATTACACCACATTGCATCCAGTTAGCCATCTAAACATTCCTCCTAAAGGGGGGTCCGCGGGGGGGGGGGGGGGGGGGAGGGCAGCAGTGATGCTGCTGCTCCGTAATTAATAATGAACCCACCAGGAACATTCCTCGCCGCCTCCCTACTCCGCTGCAGATACAGCCACGTCAACAAATTCAGCATAGGCAGCTTCTCGGCCGCATCGCCCGCGCGGGCCTGCAGCCCCTTCGTCATGATCTCGATGGCGATGTCGACCCGCTCGTGCTTCGCATAGGCCAGCGCAATGTACATCCAGAACTGCCTCGGGCTGCGCTCGTTCTCGAGCAGCGTGCACAGCTCCGTGGGGTCGTCGGGCAGCCCGTTGGGGTCCACCTCGACCACGGCGGTCTCGTCGTCGTCGTCCTCGTCGCCAGCGGACACGGGGATGTCGATGCTGTGGGGGATGTCCGCGTAGCGGCTGTGGCGGAGGGGCGTGAGCCCGTTGAGGAGGAGGGCGGCGGAGGAGGCCATTGGGGGGCCGTGGGGGGAAGGTGAGGTGAGGTGACCTATCGGTCGTTTGGGGGTATTGTGATGTGGGTCCTGAGACGCGCAGGGAAACTGACAGCCGTGAGGATTGTATCGACAGCTCTGACTGAGGGGATTGAACAGTCTGTGATTTGGAGAGACTCGGGGTGGTGATTGTTGGGGAGGGAGAGGTGTCTGTCGGGGATTGGAGAGGTTGAAGCTCTCTGTCGAGCTGCGCGAAGGTTTGAAGAAATCGCGGTGTGTCGAAGATGCGTGCTGACTCAGCAACGCGAGAAAATGGCAACAACCCTAGCCCCGAGCCAGTCACGTTCGGTCACTCGAATACAACGCTGCCGAAATAGGCAGTTTGTGCAGCTGATCACCAAGGACCCGTAGCTGCAGCACTGTCACGGTCTGGATTATCGTTGCGCTGGAGGACTAGAGTACTCTACATGTAGGTCTCGGTCCTGGTTACTTGCATGTAAGTAGTAGGGCTTCTTGTTACAACGACCCAGCTAGCCCATCCTCTACCATCTCAAAGCTGAACATACATGTATATACTTTTGCGTGTTTAGCACCCGACTTTAATCCTGACATTAGCATTGAGACTTGAGAATATCTGGTAACAAGCGCATACCTCCAATCAAATAGAAGTACATAAAGAGGATCGCCCCATCTCTGACCCAACCAGATCATCATGTTTCATCCCTCCTAGCTCGGTACTTCACGACCACTGCTTAATTCATCAGCACTTCGCCGACTTGGCACTTTCATAGACTCTGACTTTGTACTTTCTAGAACCCGATCGATGGCACCACATGTAAGTATAAGTCATGAAGCATGATTCGGTCAGAAAGCACTTATTGCCCAAGCCCAATTACAGGGACACTCAGGGCTGGTAAGCCGACTGGCAACTACAAGTATGCACTCGTACTTGTATGTACCCTGCGTACCGTATTCAGGGCCGTTAGGAGAGGCAAAGAAACAGGATGCTACCATTGCTAACCCAGGCTCAACAGTGGTCTGCCGCGATATAGGCCCAGGACCGACCGATTCCTTCATTTCTTCCGAAAAAGACAGCGCGATTCCTTCTACTTGGCTGTCGATCATCTGGCATAACTCTTAGCCTTAGAGTAGGTATTTGCCAAGCTACAATCCTAACCCACTATCTACAAGAGGTTAGCCCCTGCTGCTGCTGCTGCTGCTGGCATTCACCTTTACTAACCTACTACTACATACACACATACATATTCGTACTTATGTCTCTACGGCCAGCAGAAGATGCTACATGTATCTACTGTAGAAGACCAGACAGCAATAATGCCCGAACATTCTTGGAAACAACAAACCCCCCCCCCCCGTTCAGGCCAGGAGCTGTCCCCGCACTACACACAGTTGCACCTCGCTATGGCGGAACTCAACATGCCGGATCCCTTGCTGTCCCGCATGAAATTCCCTGAGAATTCTGTTTTCTACTGCAAAATCAATTTGTTATCAGGAATATTTGCTATCCCGTACAAGATTTGGCGAATCTTGGCCATCCGGCATAGCGAGGTGGGACTGCGCTCTCGCAATGTCTCAGCCTCTGTCAGTCCTGTCTCTTGATGACATCATCCCGAGCTGCCGGGTGGTCAGCTGTACCAATACATGGCGAAAAGTAAACCTCCGATATCTGCTTAATTTGGCTCACTGTTAATGTACTCTAGAGAGGGGAATCCAACTCAAAGCCAAACCACCATAACACCCCCCCCCAAACCCTCTCTCCAGGACCCAGGAAACCAAAAAAAAAAAGAGAGAGAAAAGAAGAAAAAAGGAATGGAAACCTCGAAACGGCCTCTGCTCCTCCACGAAGCAGCCACGCCCTACGTCCTGCTATGGACAGCCCTCATGATCCCAAACCGCCTTCTGGCCGCCACGCTGATACTCCCACTGCTGGCACTGTCGTACCACAACCTCCTGCAGACCACGTCTCCGAACCCGCCCAACAGCTTCCTCGTGGGCTCGTTCGTGGTGTACCACGCATTCGCCTCCATCAATCTCCTCCTCCTGCGGGACCCTCGCACCGAGTTCCGGAGACTGCCCATCACCGCCACGGGGGAGACGAAGCACCAAAACGGAGAAGAAGAAGAAGGAGAAGCATACCCCCGTGACCTGAAGCGCAGGATATGGTGGGTCTTTGACTTGGCTGTCACCATGCGCGGCATCGGCTGGTCCTGGCAAATCCGGCCTATCCCGCCGCTCTCCGCCACCGAAGCAGCGTCCCGCCACACCTACCTCCGCCGCCGCCTCGCCCGCCTCCTCATCATCTACGCATGGATCGACCTGAGCATGTTTGTAATCCAGCACATCGACCGCGCCTACTTCCTCCCCCCCGGAAACGCACACGAATACCCTCCCGCCGGGGAACCACCAGTCTACCCGCACCTCTTCTCACGCAGCACCCGCCCCCAGCACCACCCCGCGCCCCTCGGCCTCCCGCCAATCCCCAGCCTCTCCAGCGGCGCACCCGCGCTCCTGTACCGCGCCGCACTGTACACCGCTCGCCAAATCTTCACGGGCATAGTCATGTACGCCCACCTCAACAGCGGCTACACATTCCTCTCGCTGTCCGCCGTCCTTCTCGGCGCCCTCGTCGGCGCCGAGACCGGCTGGCGCAGGCGCTACCTGCACTGGCACGCGTGGCCGGACGTCTTCGGGCGGTGGTCCGCGGGCGACTGGGGGCGCGGGCTCGCGGGGTGGTGGGGCGGGGCGTGGCACGGCCTCTTCAAGAACGTCTTTATGGCACCGGGGCGGTTCGTTGTGTCCCGGCTGGGGCTGGGACAGAGGTTGCCTGCGGCGGCGGTATGGGTGGTGCGGCTGGTGGGCCCGTTTGTGGTGTCGGCGGCGCTGCATTACGCGGGTGCGTGGACGCAGGCGCGCGGCGGGTGGGGGTCTGCGAGGTTCTTTTTGTGGCAGCCGGTTGGGGTGGTGGTGGAGGCTGCGGTGGTGCGGTGGTGCCCGGGATGGGTGTGTAGGGGGTGGGTGAGGAGGTGGGCGCCGTATGTGTGGGTGGTGGTGTGGCTTGTGGTGACGAGTGGGAGCTTCTTTGAGGAGCTGCGGTATGGCGGGGTGTGGGCGCTGCAGCCGGTGCCGGTTAGTGCGTGGAAGTGGGCGGCGGGGGTGGGGGCGTTGTGTGGGGGGGAGACGGCGGTGGGGTGGTGGGAGTGGGATGATGGAAGTTTGGGGGGGTGGGGGGTGAGGATTTAGAGGGAGTCATGGGTGGTCACTCGGTGGGGGGTACGGGTGGTGGGTGGTGTGGGATGGGAAGGGGGAGGGCCTGGAGTGGGTGTTGGGGATTGGGAGTTGTGGACATGGCTAGAGATGAAAAAAGAGCGGGTCTGGCTGGGTGTTGAATAGTTTTTCTCGGGGTAGATGGTTTAGTCGTGTAATCGAAAGGTTATATGTACTTTTCTGTAACTCGTAGATATTATTGTGCAAGTGCCTAAGTAGCTGCCTCGATGCTTTTATCACTATATTTAACTTTCCAACGTGTAGATACTCCCGTACGCATCGCTACACGGTATACAGTTACATGTGGTCAATGATCAAGCAATGAATCCATGATGAATCGTACTTGGCCAGTTGTACATAGCTCAGTTCAGGCTGGATGGCCACTACATGTATGTACATGTATCTTATCAAATAGTAACCTTTTCATTCTCCTTCCGGTCCGTATATATCATCAGGAAGACCTTTTTCCATTGGTTTTATTCTACGCAGAGGTGCGGGGGGGGGGGGGGGTGGGTGGGATATCTCGTACATAATTAATACTTGAAGCTTTTAGGTACCGCGCACAGATTTTTTGCAAAACTATTATTGGTTGGGGGGGGGGGGGTATGCGTGTGCGTATCTAGATGTAGGGATATCCACTTCTAGAAATATGTGCCTTTATAACGCCGCAGCTTATATGGCACTGCATTTCTCAAAAATCTGAGTACCTCTGGAGCGCACATGCTGTATATATATTGTAGGAGCAAATCTGGTAGCATATTAATTTAAGATTTATACTTAGTGTACTACTACATGTAGCCAATAACCCTTTATATGATACGCATATATGGTCTAAATTTCGTGTTGCGGACAATAAGGTAGGTCGGTGATGCTTATTTTTCTCCTCATACATATTTTAGAATACGTGACCGCCGGTTTCTTTTAAGCGGCCCGTATAAGCACATGCCTGCAAGAGCACGTATTTTTTGGAGAAGCGAATACCCCGGGCCCTATTGTGTGTTTCTGTTCTTCAAGTATACATTAAGTATATATAACGTATAATGTGCTTACATGGTATTGGGGGGGGGGGGGACAGGAGATTAAAAAGCTCCATAGTAGAGTACTTGGTCTTGAAAAAAAAACATCGTTTTTTTTTTTTTTTTCATGTATCAACCACACATAATTGGAGATTTACAACCACCAATGCAAAGCACACATCTGGAAAGATCTCTACTCTTTATAACCACTAAGAACAGGCACAGACACAACACCACACAAATCACACACATCACAATAACACACCACACACACACACCATATGCGATCAATGAATTAAACAAAACAAAACAAAAAAAACCACACACACCACACACAACCTCTCCACATCACCCAAAAACCTCACACCACCCCCCCCCCCCCCACACACAATGTGCAAATACACCATCACCACCTATAAATGCACACACAAGCACTACGCTCGCCACCCCACCACCGCCATCTGCCACGAGAAGCCCCACGAGCCCGAATACAGCAACTCGACGCACGTCAAGGGCGCGAACGACTGCGACGCCTGTGTACTCATCAAGGGGGAGACAAGGCCTGGGCTCCTGAAGAGGGTGGCGACGAGGATTAGGGATAGGGCTGTGCTTATCAAGGATGAGTGTGATGAGTATGAGAAGGAGTATAAGTAGTCGATCAGGGCGGAGGAGATGGGTGAAAATATAGGGAGGTGGTGAGTAGAGAGATATAGAGCAGTGGGGGGGTTGGGAGCTAGATGGACAGGTAGGTATGTGGTGGATGAGGGAGGGGATGGGGTTGAGAAGTAGGCAGAGAAGTGAGGTTGATTAGTGAACGATTTATGATTGACAGGCGAGTGATTTATGGTGACGGGAAAACTTTAGAGGAGAAAAATTGATTAATAGAAAACCAATAAAATCACTACCTGATGAATCGTGGAACAGAGCACTCTCGGCCTCGTGGGTTAAAAACGTCAATTCTTTTTTTTTTCTCCTCGCCAATAAGTCTGGAGATTGTAGTAATAACCAAACATTCCCCCTGCTGCACCAATCTATATATACACAAACAGCAGTTGCATACATACAAGCATCATCACAGCAACATTTTTGATATCTACGAAACCGGAACCACAATCCGGTCCACATCTGGCGCCCATCCACCATCAACTCCTGCAACCTTCAACGTGTTCCCTGTCCCGCTGTTCAAGTTAAAGGTCATGCTCGCCACACCCGTGATCTGTCCGCTGCCCGTGGGCACAAAGGCAATCCTTTGTGTGACACCATTGACCGTAATGTCCGCAAATCGCTGTGTAGTGTCGCCGTTTGTGTACCTCATCCTGATGGTGGTCCTGGTCGTGGTCGAGGAGGAAATACCGTTAAAGGTGAGGGTATCACCTGCAGAACCGCCAATGTAGCCAACGGTGGAGGTGCCAGAGCAGTCGGTACAAGATAAGATTTGGGTGCCGCTGGTGCGAGTGTTGGTGCTAGATTCAGCTTCGTAGGAGTTGTCGGCGGGTGGGGTGGACCAAGTGCCGGCGGCGGCATTGATGACCCAGTTGTAGTACCAGGTGAGGGAGGCGGTAGTTCCGGAGATAGTAAGTGGGAGCCAGACATAGCTATAGGGACGGGGTTAGCTGGGCTGAGATTAAAAATGGATTGATAGATAACTTACGTGGAGGACATCAGGTTGGAGGAAACCCAGCGGTCGCCCATATACCTGGAACAAAGAGTTAATATAAGTGTTTCAAATAGCATTTCATGGTAGGGATCTTACATGGCCATGTCACCAATCGTGAGGACATAGTTTGTTTGAGACGTGTAAGTGTTGGATCCGCTAGTTGCGACTGATCCTCGAAGGTTAGTACATTTTACCCACGTTGAGATACACCGTTTACTTACAGTTTGCCCATGCTGACCATGGCCCACTCAAGCTTGTCGCAGTAGAATATTTGTTATCGTTTGCATCTGTTCACTGTCAGCACAATCCACTATAGCTAGTCTTCAGAAAAAAAGGGAAGCCATACTCCACCCGGTAAGCTGACTCGCAAACATAAAGTACACCCCGTTCTTCTTAATAACCGCCGGGGACTCGTACTTCTCCGCCCAGGTGTAGACATTCGACGTCACATTCAGATAATCATCCGACAGGCGGTCAATTCTCAGGCCATTCTCTCTCTATTTCAAAAACCCAGTCAGTCCCCCATTCACCGCCAAGGAAAGTCAATGATCAAACCTACATCTTCAGTCAACAGGTACCCGGCCCCATCCGAATCCTGGTACAACCCCATGTCTCTGCTCTGGAATCCCAGAGGTCTAAAGCTACCTCTGTACGTGTAGGCTCCACACACGCTGCTGCTGGTACTAACTCCGACTCTTGCGTCGGCGTAGTTGCTCGAGTCGACATGCATGTACATGACATACTGGCTAGTCGCAGAGTTATACAAGATCTTGGGCCTTTCGACGACTCTGTTTGGTCCGAGATCCCCAGAGTCTTGCAGCGTGAGAAGGTTGTTGACGAAGGTCCAATCGATCAGGTTGGTGGAGGAGTAGCAGCGGATGGATTGGAAGGAGTAGCCATCGAGCTTGTTCTCGCCAATGAGGTAGTAGGTGGATCCGACCTTTATGACACCAGCACCGTGCGCTTGGATGTGCATGCCTGTGTTTGCGGCGGTCCAGGAACCGCCGGAGACCTAAAGGCTGTCAGAGGGTCTGATTTAATAAGAGTCATATAGGTATAGGATGAACTTACGATTTGGAGAGAGGCATGGACAGCACCAGAGAACAGTATGGCTCCTAGGGCGACTAGATTGGACTTGAACAGCATAGCTAATCACGTGGTCTTTATCGAGTGATAGGTGAACCGTTCACGATTGAGATATCGATATCCAGAAGTGTCAAGAGAAAAAGAAAGGAAAAACATGTTCCCCCTTTACATCTTTTATACCTGCTCAGGTACCTACCGTACCTACATAGTAGCATGCAACCTCCTTCATCTAGATATCCCTACCTTCCCTGTCTGTCCCATGGCCAATCAGCCTAAAGCCAATGATTTCCCTCTGCTAATGCCTGCCTACCATTATTAAGGTTACTTTTAGCGGCGAGTGAGTCTACTATTTTGCGGGGTAAAATGGTAGTTCGGGGTTTCTAATATCTGAATCGCAAGGTACCTGTTCCCGTTACTCCGCTGACGTCAATCATATCTTCATTGGGAATCCTCGCCCGACATATAAACACTCAATCTCGTCAGGATGGAACCCAGAAATAGCTCAAAAATAGAGCTCCTGAGGTGACAGCTGTAAGGGCGAGCGACCGGAGTTAATCCGGGAGGGGTATGAAGGATCTCGTGTGACAATCAATGACCCCATATCTCACGTGTAAATCAGACTGGGGAACAGAAGCAATCATCTGCATATCGATCTCGGTGAAAGTAAACACCGACCAGTGTAATACTCCTCGTTCACATGTTTTATACGACCGGGCATAGAGGAATCCGAATAACCGGATTCTGGGGTAAAATAATCTAGTATCATTCTTCTATTCCAACCTCCAACCTATCTAGATCTAGAAAGCATTGGAACATCAATTAAGGTGGCTAACTATATAACATTAAAAAAAAAGGGTTCGGAGGTTGGCCTTCCGGGACTTATGCCTTCCCGTCCCAGAATTCGACCACGGCCCATTTACCGCTCCATGCCCACTTTCTTCCCTCGCCCGCTGCGTCACCAGCCCTCAACTCCTCATCCTTCCCTTCAGGAAGTCCCACAACAACATCAGCCTTACAAGTTCTAAGGGCAAGCACTCTGATGCCGCTCCCAACCTCCCCCAATGGCCCGATAGCCTCCTCAAACCTCGTAGTAGGATTCCAGTCGGCGTCACCGGTGAGTTTTCGGTAATTGAGGTCTCCCTTGAAAATGACTAGCTCCGATTTCTGCAGGTCCTCAAAGAGTTCTGGAGCGGTCTTTGGCAAACGCCAGTAGGATCCGCCAGTCGTCCAGAACCTGTTAGGACGGAGTACAAACTTGCCGTCGGCGTGGAATTTACTCCAGTGAGAAAACAAGGATTCGAGATCGGATTTCTGAGCATCGCTTAGGGATGCAGCCTTATTTTCCTTGTTATTTTCAGGCTCATCTGAAGAAGAAAAGTAGGTCACAGGATCGTGCAGAGCGTTCAAAAGATCGGCGAAATCCTTTGGCAAGACATCACTGACGAACCACGGAAGACTCTTGGGGTGGAACACGATCTCTGTCGCCAGCCCGGCGTAGAGAAGATAACCTCCCAAGATTAGGTCTACGAAAAGCTCGAACCCAGAGTTATCAAGGACAATGTCTACTCTTCGCTCTTTCTTGCCCTCATTCTTCTGCTTCAGGAGCATGTCGTAAACATCCGAAAGATCGTTGACAAGGATGTTCTTTTCACTCTTCTTCCTTGCCTCACTTCCTTGGAGTTTCTGGATATCTTCGTAGGATAAACTGGTCAACAGACTCAGATCTGTGGCATTTCCCCAGAGACAGATCTCTGCCATCTCGATGAACAGCAATTTTTCTTTCTCGGCGACCTGTTCGGGGGTAAGTTCTTCGGCGGCGGAAGGTCCTTCGACAATGTGACGGTATTTTGAAGCTAACTCGAGAATTGCGGCGAGGGATGACTTGAATGTGCTGTTCTTTTGGAGATGGAAAACGTCGTGTGATTTCCAGGTCTTTGTTAGGTTCATTGAGACTTGAATTCGACTAAACATGAACTTAGTAATGTTAAGATGACTGGGTTGGAATACTTACCGGTACAAGTAGCATTCAATAAATAACCAGGGGGCCTCAAACCACTTGGGGTTACCAAGCTGTTCTAGTTCCTTGTTGTAATCCTTGATATCTTCTTCGCCGTCATCTTCTAAGGGTCTAATTTGCCGAATTAGCATTCATTGAGGGTTTAAAGCTGTTAGATATATTCTCACGTAACCACCCGGTCGTGTTGCATCTCATATTTCATCTTGGCAAGTTGCTCCACGATTGTCTTTCCTTCTTTCGTATGCTCAGGGTCTTTTGAGGCCATAGTATGTCGGAAAACATCGTCAATAGCTTGTGTCTAGTCCTGTCAGTTCCAGTCTAAAGCGAGAACGAGAGTCGGGAAAATGGTACCAAAATGACAGGCCACCGATCTCGTACGGAAACATACGCGAAAGAAAACTTATCGGAGGTCTTGTACGGCGCTGCAAGGGTAAATGATCAGCTCCCAGGACTAGAATCTCAGCAATTGAGGTATATCTTACTTGTCTTAGTATCGTATTCCATCTTGTATATGGCACTTTCTCCTCAGTGGTATGCTTTGAGCTAGAGCTGGGCACCTGAGAGCTAGAAATACAAATGTTTGGGGGGTCGTTGAGTCAATTGAACCGATTTGCCATGGTGGGGCTAGTGAGGGGGACTCAAAGCTTGGCGAAGTTAGTTAGCTTGTTTGGGAGAGTTAACGCGACATCTGAAATTGATATCGCGAAGGCATTTAACTGAACCGCAATGTAATCAAATTTGCAACAGTTTTCTGGTGAGCCTTAGCCTTATCAAAGATTAGGCGTGTGCTCTTGTTCAAATGAGAAGCAGGTCCAACCTAAGATCCCAGGCGTGCGGCGTGCTTGATTATTGTGTTGCCAACATTGTGCCGCCCAATGGCATTTCTAGAAGTTTAAAGTATAGAGTTACCTAAACAGCAAATTATAAATTCCATAAGCATGTACCTTTCTTGGATGTAGTATACGTGTATGTACAGCCACTCGTCAAAAGTGTTCGTGATACAGTTTTAATGTCAGTGCGCAGTGTGGCGCACCCGTAATACTGATGTTATTAAAGTTGAGATTTAAAACAACGAAAAATATATAATATAGTTCGTGACTATATATAAAAAGAAGATAGGTCATTGATCTTATTCTTCATTAATTTGGGTGCCATTGGTCACTGGGAAAGTCTTCTCTTGGGGTGTTCTTGATGGTCCGCCGCAGTTACATATGGAGAAATGTCTCACTCTGAAATCGGAATCACGAACACTTTTGCAGGGTGGCTGTACGTATTTGTTAATGGGTATAAGGCCAGAAAGGGCTTTGTAATTTTGTCATAGTAAAACGTACTGGTTGAAGGAAGTAAACGGAACTAACATTTCTATTATCTGGTATCTTCTTAATTGTAGCTATCAGGATCTTCGGTTTTTTGAGCTTCAATCATTTGTCTAAGAAAAAATCCTTTATTTCGACGTCTAGATCAACTACATGTATGTACGTCCTTATTCCACCATTGATCGACTCATGCACATTCAACATCCTCTACATATTCTCATAAGATACTGACTTGCATTCCGTATAGTCTTTTATCATCGCCATCACCGATACGGACTCAGCTATAGAGAATTATCATTTAACGCTGCAAATCGCCATCAATCATCCGTCATCACTGTTTTTGGGCCTAGAGCTATTTTTGGACATCTGATTCAACTGTCCATCGCCGCCTATTACTGAATCATAATTTGCAAAATATCACATAGCGAGAGCCTTGCCTTATGCCAAATAGGCGAGCCTTGGACAAGGTTTATAATTATGTCTGCTTTACCCAAGTGACATAAATTTTGGTGCATATGTAGAGAAGAGTGATTTTATGACACCGTATTTAGCTATGGCAGTGCTAACATGGCACAACCCTTTAGTGTGAGTTAGGCTCCTGAATGTGTGGATTCGGATAACGAATTTTAAATAATCTGATAAGGCACAGTTAAGCAGTTATAAGATGGAAACACACGTGCTATATGTAATACACGCATCTGCACTGTGGAACAAAAGTTATCCATTAAAGCTTCGGTCAACGCAAATTTTGCGTGGACTCATTTTCTGTGGTTGGATTCGTGTCATTTTAAATGCTAATGTGATAGGAGCTCCGACACTAGTATGTTAACTGCGTCACCATCACTCACTCGGCAGTGATATTTCAACCGATCCCGATTTATAATCCCAATATCGAGAATATATTTATGTAATTAGGAAGACACCGCAAATCGCTATAGTTTGTGATGTCGCGGAGGATCATAATCTTCACCATATTCATGAACAAGCTTGTGTTTTTCATATTTTTTTCTATAAACTTGAATAGCCTTATTCCTTCTTATTCATTTTTACGCACTAAAACCAAACTATACAGTGTGCGTACACACCCTACGCCTTCAACACTAATACTACTACTACATACACATCGCCTTGAAACCTTGCGTATCATACCATATCCTGCCATAACCCATGCCCCATGAACAGGGAGAAAGAAGCATACAAATAACACAACCCCTTTGCTAACTATAAGAAAGAAAGAAAGAAAACAGAAAACAGGAATCCCGCGCAGAAACAAAACACCCGCAAGAAGCAGAGTAAAAAGAAAGCAAAACTCCCAGGAGTGTGGAACCCAGTAGAAGACAGTAAGTAGTTTGTAAATGAATCTTTTGTTTTTCCCGGAATTTTAAAGGTAATTTTCAAAAGAAAGGAAAGAAAGAAAAAACTCAGTATTCCCCAACACCACGATTACCGCAATACGTCCGAAACTTCACTGCCATCTACATACCCCCCATTTTACCGTAAAAACTTGGCGTCCCAGGAGTTTGCCTTGCGTTTTGGCTCTCCTGCCCAGGAGTTGTGTTGCCGGTAGGCGTTGATGTAGACTCCCTGTTTCCGTTTGAGTTTGTTGGTGTTGATGGAACTGGTATGCCATTGTTGTAAACAACCGTTCCTGCACCGTTGATATTTGGCGGAGAGATACCAGCACCGTTGAGACCCCAGACTTGGCCGCTTAGAGGTGAAGTAATTTGTTAGTCTATGAATAAGTTAAGTGGAAAAGGGAGGGCTTACAGAAATTTTGAATCATCAATTTTTCCATCAAAGAATCGATCCCTCATCTCAAAAAAGATGTTGCCGGTGAGTAAACTATCACTTCCTGCTTGATGCTGCGGGCCGATTCTCGGCACGCCCATATCCTCCGCAATATCCTGTAGACCACCTTTCAATGACCGACATGATTTCATGAGGAACTTGATATCGTAGAGTGCAGGGAAATATTTTCCAAGGAGTGTTCGGAATTCGGATTCTTCTGTTGGCAGCGGTTTACAGGACATGATCTTGACCAAGTATCCAAAATCGTACCCCGAATGGAAAGAAATCCACTTGACTTCATCCAGCATTACCAAACCAGAGGAAATTAGGAGATCGCCAAATGCATACACGTCGATACCGTGGTTGGCATGTTTTACGAAGTCGATACCGCTTTTGGTGAGGAGATCGATAGATTCTTGAGCATACATGTCCTCGTTGAGAGAGAATTTAAAGTTAAATTGCCAAGTACAGACAGTACCATCAACCTTAGCGAGCTCTCCGTTCTCGTCGGAGAGAGTTATGCCGAGCTGAATGATCTTGAGCATGTCGACGTTGCATCGGAGCGTTTGGTAATGGTAGTCGGCTTTGGATTTAAATGCACCGATAGGACGAGCCACAATGCCTGGGAATTCAGTGTCCTAGTTCGCTGAATTTAGTTGATCGTCGTGCATAGAGAATAGGCGTAAATAGGTTTAAATTTAAGGTAGGGATTCGGTTTTGGTACTCAGCCAAATTGTAACTAACCATAGCAATATACGGGTACTTATCCACCACACTTCGAAGAACCCCCATCTCCCTATTCAGATCTTCTGCCCAGACATCTCTGATCTGCGAATCTGCCTGCGGCAGAGCTCCATTGGGCCTTCCATCGAGACCTACAGCACCCCCACCAACTCCAACGCCCATGTTGGCACCCATACCGGGCCTGCCAACCAATCCTGCTGGAATGTTCCCACCGTTTATTGAAGAGCCTCTACCCATTAGACCAAGAAGACTTTGCTGCTGCTGCTGAAGATGCTCCCGCGCTTGTTGCTGTGCTTGTTGCTGTGCTTGTTGCTGTGCTTGTTGCTGTTGGGCTTGTAGCTGTTGTTGTTGGTTGCTTCTTTGGGCAGCGACGGCAGCGGCTTGTTGTTGAGCATTGAACATTTGCTGTTGTGACGGGTATCTTTACATTCTAACATTTAGCAGCTATCTAAACAAGGTTGCGGGGACCTCTTAGATCAAGGGTGCGGGAGGTAGCAGCAGGTGAGGATTAAGGTCTAGCCTTAGTCCCTTTCCCCCATCACCTTACTCTCTCCAGTTTCGCCTCTGATCCCACATAGTATGGGTACAGGTCGGCTCACCTATTAGTCTCCATCAAGCTGTGCATACCCCCCCCACCTCCCCCACCACCTCCTACTCCCATCGGATGTCCGCCCTGTTGCTGTGCAAAGGAGGAGGGGACATGCATAGTCGGGCCAAAGGGGTTGGCTCGTGCCGGCGGCATCGTTGTTTAATATCTAGGTTTCTTTAAGGTTCTAACGTGATGATGATATGGCAAGGAGTCGAACTGGCATCTCTCAGGTAGTTGTTGATGGGGGGGGGGGCGGACACGAAGGTTAGGCTGTTGTGTCGTTTCGTGTAACACTTTCTCCGTGCCCAGCTCGGAATGCAAAAGCAGCATTTTAAGATCCGCTTATGACTCAGCGTAATCCCCGCATGTGCCTGAGGCTGCTTTAGGTGTTGCGATGTTGCAACTGGCATCTGTACAGCGCATCACCGTCATCAGGGCGAACCTTGTTCCCACTTTCAAATCAGGCAGCCCACGAGAATTCAGTAATAACTGCCCCTCTCCCCCTCCTCATACACAAGATATCACCCACCAAAAAAGCCTGTACACCCACTATGGCTCCAAGAACTCCTACAGACGTCAATTACGCGGTTCTCAGGCGCTACTTACCTCGCCTACACGAAATCCTTACCATTGCTACCTATGCACACATATACATCTGGTCATCAACCTCAAATTCATGGAGCAAAGCTGGTTTCGAAGGCTCTCTATTCCTCGTCTCCCTCAACCCCCCACTACCGACTCCCGAAGACCCAATACCTAAAACTGAGGAATACATGCTATTCCTCCTAAATCGTTGCAGTCTCAACAACTGGCACTATAAACTCCGAGACCCTGATGATATCGATCTAGAGAGCGGAGAGATTTGTGTTCTCCGGGCAAATGAGCCTATACAACGCGATAATGGGGCAGCCGCGAACGGGAACGGAAGCGGGTCGGGTACAGAGGATGAGGTGGCATATGGACTCTTTATTTTCTCAGAATCGGGCACAAGTACGGCGGAAGACAAAGAAAAGTTTCTAAAAATGACGAAGGAATGTGCAACTACGTTTCAGGCGACTAGTGCTGCTGCTGCAATACCCACGCCTGTACCGCAGCCAGAGCCACAGCAGCAGCAGACGCAGGCAGGGAGGAGCATTTCTGTATTAGAACTGTTTCAACAAAGGGGGATACAACAGCTTCAAGAGCCGCTGCAGCATCAGCATCAGCAGTCAATGCAACAGCAACAAGGATATTATCCACAATCAGGTTGGGGATATCAAGAAACGGGGTTGGGAGGACAGCAAATTGCGCCCCAGCAAATGCCACCACAGCACCTAGCACAGCAGCAATGGCAGCAGCAGTGGCAGCCACAACCACAAGTATCCTACGAGCAGCCTATCAATACGGGCATGGGGCTAGTGGCGGCGGCGTCGATCTCTTGAGTCTATTCCAGAATGCAAAGTACAGGGATAGCAGCGGACAAAACTAGGGCTATTGAAACCTCTCAATTCTACGAAAAGATCGCCTACAACAGTGAATGGGGTGGTGTACTATAATATTAATATGTACCATAACTACAAACGCTGTTGTAGGGTTATAGTTGGGCGTGATATGAAGAAAAAAAAAAATGGCGGGACGGTACAGGTACTCTAGTACCAGCAGATATTGGCGCGGCGGAAGTTTCAAACGGTGGTCATGGCGTTTTAGGGCGGCTGTTTGATTATATCATTCCCTTTCAAAACAATTGTAATACACTTTATGGTGCATTTGTCCGGTGTCGGACAATGCTACATAAGTATCGAGTGATAATTCATGATGACTCAACAGAAGTATCTGTTGAAAAAGGTCAGATCATACAGACAAAAGATTTGAGTTTGCTTTTGAATACCTACTTTGTGTAACTCGTGACATATTCACAAAATATCACTCGATGCCAAGACATGAGGGTTACATGTAGTCAGATCTTCATGGGCAGTATAGAATGGTACTGCAATATCTAATTTAGAATACCAATAAGACATACTGGGCTTATACGGTCATACGGTCATACGGTCATACGGTCAAAGTAAGAACATCCACACACGGGTACAAACACTTTGAACGAGCATACGTATCTAATCAGCAGGTGGGTTGCATCTTTCAATTGTACGAAAGAAAATGGTTGATGATATTAATCAAATAACAATATAACACAAACCACCTAACCTCATGAAACACCCCCAGAGTGGCCTGGGTGTATCTGATTTAGTACCTGCCCCGCTATTGCCGGTAACGAATCCACGCGAGCTTGTTACATAGCTATCTTCTAGATGGATGACGTTGTGGGCAAGAAAATCGCTCACATGGAAAATCACTCACCACATTTGATCACTCTAATGATGTCATCTACTTAGATCTGAATGTGATTATCTACATATATATCTATAAAACTACCAAACATAATTGGCTTGTCTTAGAAAAATCTCCTCGTCTGGTGATACTTCCCGCCCTCTACTAATGGAGGGCCAGGATTTGGGTGTGGGATAAATTCGTTGATAAGAATGATAGAGACCTGGATTTAGACAACACCTTTCCTCCTTATCTTCTAGGTATATTATATACATATACATATAGGTCACCCATCACAACAGTTGCATGCATATGCACTTGTAGCTTTGTAGGTTGTGTACATGTACATGTAGATACATGTATTATGCAGCTCGGAGCCCCCCTTCACTACATACATACATGTATATAAAACAAAAATAAATGGAGAAACAACGATACCTGCATAAATAAGAATAATCACTAAATGATCAAGTCCAAGCCTACCAAGTCTTCTCAAAATTGGTATATGCGCTCTACTCATCAAACTCCTCTGGCCCAGCATATCCCGGCTCCTTAAATACCATATTCATATCCCTCACTTGCGCAATAAACTTTGTCAGTTCCTTTAGCCTCGTCATGAGCTCCTTCCACCCGTCCCCATCCCAGGGTCTGGGCCACCTAGGACATTCCCATCCCTTGTCCACATTGGGTGGTTAAACCCACCGACACCCGAGCTTTTAAAGAAGCTTTCTATCTCCGGCTCCCAGTCGCCCGAGCACCCCAGTCCAATTAAAGACTGCTGCGCGAGATTGTGTGTCCAGTCGGCATTCATGAGAGATGCCCCCCAGCGGACGTCGTGGTCTGTTGCCAGTCCTTTCCAGGAGATTTGGATGCCGAGCGGGTATAGATTTGTCAGACTCATACGGCTCGGTCCGATGCTCTCGGGGAAGAAGCATTCGTACTGGGTGATCTCGAACTTGTACTGCGTTCTCGAGATCCAATACTGGTGCTTCGTCTTCTGCACAATCTTGTCCACCACCAGTCCCGGGAGGTTCGCGTAGCAGATCCTCTTGACCCTCCTCCTGGAATCCGCGCTGCCCGGGCGCGGGGGTCCAATGGGATCGGACTCGTCGGGGATCTCCTCGATGCGGATCTTCTTCAGGAAGTCCTTGAAAATCGGGTACTTGTCTGCATCGGGACAGAACTCGTACGTGTGGAACTCTATCTGCCACGCAAGGTCTGACTCCAGATCCATGACCTTGATGTCGACAGGGCCCTTGCGGCGTTGCCTGACACCACCCCGTATGTTGTTGGGGTTGGCGCTCTTCTGGATAAAGAGCCAGCGGCGCATGCCGACCCGGTAGAGGTCGCCGGCGGCGTTTGCCATGTCGCCCGGGTGCTTACCGGGGATGCGCTCAAACTCAATCTCGAGGCGGATCTTGGAGGCGAAGGGCCCATTGTAGATTGTGCACTCGAATGTGCCTCGATGGTGGGGTCGGGGATATCGAGGTCGTCGTGGATGTCGTGGATATCCCCCTGGCCGTCGACGAGGTCGCCGTAGGGGTTTTCGGCGAATTTGGAGTGGCCGCGGTCCACGTGGTGGAAGAGGTCCTTTCGTGCGTGGCATTCGGTAATTAATGCTTTTGCGATGTGCTCCTTTCCTATGCTGAGAGATTGTTAGCACATGTGGATTTCAGCAAAAGTATGGGGATATACGTACTGCTTGATGAGCTCTCCACATATCATTGGGTCCCGGACCATGCGAGAGAAATCATCAATAGAGTACCCCTCTGGCGGTGGTGTTTTATAACCAAAGAGAACCAAAGTCCCGAAGTTTATCTTCAAAGAGGCATAACCTCTAAAGTAAACGACTTCTCTCAGTCCTTCATTCATCGCTTTCTTGATAAAACGGTCATTGGCTGCCTCCAGGATTTCCCTCCTGGTCTTCCAGGCCTCTACAAATTCCCAGGATGGGAATTCGCCCACGAGGAGAGCCCGTACTCCCGTACTCCCCCAGAATCTCTCTATTGTCTGACAGTTCTCCAGCTCCCGTTCTCTGATAAGACTAACACGGGTGTTCTGTAAATCCATAGACGGAGGATGAAGAAGGTGCTTATCCGTGATTGTGCGACCCTTTGCAGCTGCCCCACAGAATGCTCCATACAGTCTTGCAACAGCTTTATCCACAGCGTCCGGGTCCTCCCCAAGGACTTGAAGCATATACCCATCCAGCTGCCTGTAGTCAACGATCCAAACATCATGCTCAATTCTCACATCATCCAGCAGCTCAAAACTCGCCCCAAGATGGTCCTGGGCATTGGCTTCCTTTGGCCATAAAAAGGTTCCTACAGCATTAAACTCGAAAGGACCTTTGGGGGGAGGCCCGCCGCAGCTGCCGGCACCTCTCTTCCCTGCGCCTCTCCTGGTCGAGGTAGCGCTGCTTGCGCTCGCTGGGCTGGGCTCGGACTCTGGCCCAGTCATGTTCACGTTCACGGCCGGGACGACCTTTTTTTCGGGCGTCCTTTTTATCCTTTGCATCGAGGTTCATCTGGTGGAAGATGTGCTCTGACAGGAGCATAAGATCTCGGGTGGCGCGAGCGACCTGGTCTGGCCGCCCCCATATGTGCACTTGCTATATCATGGTTTGTCAATATATGATTCCCCGGGAGCTATGGAAAGCATGGGGGGGTTATTTCTTACAGGGTCTGCACCGTCATTCGGCATGCTCACGTACGTGTTTGTCTTTTGCGCGATATGGCGGAGATTTACACCTCTGGGCCCAAAGAATCGTTCATCAAAGATGGCACTACGGCGCTCCGCTATCTCAAAGTGACCTATAGGTTGCGCAGAAAAATAAGACACAAGGTCGGCAAAATATAATATTCAATGTATATACGTATATCAACCTACCATTTGGAGCGGCCCCGAGTCTCTCCAACCTTACACCTTCGTTCTCTCTCCGCAGCCCATCAGGTCCCTCATATGGATCTGCCTCGCCCCATATATCCCCATTGTCGTAATAAATCGGCCTAGTGTACGCTGATAGAGTATGCGGATCATCCAACTCATCCAGTTCCTCATCGTCGTCTCCGTCGTAAAAATCATCCCGAAAGTCAGAAGACGACTTCCGGTTCTCTCCCCAGGGATCATCATACTCCGATGGCGCAATGACGGACGACGGGCTCTTTACAGACTGCGCTCTGGAAGGAGTGGCCGTCCCAACCCAGACACTTGAAGATCCCGAGCGGGTCCTACCTCCCGCGCTGCTGACAGATCTTGCAGGACTTGTCGCCCGGCCTGCAGCAGATGCATTTCTGTTATTGCTGATACTGCTCCTATTACTTGTTGATCTCGCGGGACTTGGCGGCTGAGCAGCATTTCTGTTGTTGTTGCCGTTGTTGTGGCTGTTCCTTGACCTACTACTGGTGGTGGATCTGGCAGGACTGGTTGCGCGCGCTGCTGCGTTACTATTGCTACTCCTACTACTGACGGGTCTTGCGGGGGCTCTACCGGTCGCGCTGCCCGGAGGCGGGCTACTAGGGTCAATGCGGACGCCAATGTTGGAGCGGGCGGGACTGGCCGCGCGAACCGAGCCGGCGACGGAGGGGGGTGCGGAGGGCTTCTTCTTGGGTTTCTTTTTGGGCTTTTTGGCTTTGCGGACGGGGGTGACGGGGTTGGTTTCTTCCCAGGCGTTGGCGTTGTGGAATTCGTAGTCCATTATTGCTATTGCGGCAGGATAGTGGGGATGATAGTGGGGTGTTTGTTTGTGCGTGCTTGGTATGGTGGGGTTGTTGGAATTATGGGAGTGAGTTACTGCGAATTATATACGCGAAGCTGCGTTCAGGCATCCAGTGCTAAGGTTGTAATGTAAGGCTATATGGAGATGGATTGGTAAATATTGACGGATGCTACTCGTACTGTGGTCGGGAACAAAACTATTATTGCCGGTGATATGAGTTATATCGAACCCCCGATATGCATTCTTCAGGCGGCCACTATAAATAAGGTCTGAGTGGAGGAAGAAGTAGGAGGAGGAGGAGAAAGAGGAGAAGAAGAAACAGAAGAAGAAGAAGAAGGTTGTAGTCGTTAATAAATAGAATGGATGACACCGGGTTATAATTACCAAACGTCGTCACGCAGGAGTAACGTACTCTAATGTTTGATCGAGGGATATAGAGTATTAGTAGAGTATTTATGCGCTTGGCTGGATTGGGAGCTTAATTAGTTTTTTTCTTTCTTTTTTTTTCTTTTTTTTTTCTATATGTTGGCCATGACCACCAGCCTTCGTAATTAGTACAAGTAGCTGCACTTCGAGAAAATAATAGGAGGATGTCCTTTATGTATGGCTAGGGGTAGGTAGCCCGGTGGTACCACCGTAAACATGGTACCGTGTGAAACTGGTAAATCGGTCATTGGCATAGAAATGTGTTTGTGATTAGGCCTAACTAAGTCTGATCGATAGTGCTGGGTCAAATACTCGACGTTACTGGTAATAATGACTGAACCCATTTTAGGAGGGGATTTACCCAAGTGTGCTGAGAGTACACGTGCACGCCTTGATTAACCTAGGATCTAGTAACCTGCCTTAATCCCCCTCTTTCTTTCCTTCCGCATTGATCCTTTATATTATAAGAGATATGTGATATATTACTAGCCATTTCATCGTCAAAACCATCATCAGGCTGTCTACACAGCCTATGCAAGATCAAACGGATAGATACATACATGAGTGTTTATTATACCTCAAAAATCCATCCTGCATATGCATGGAAGACGCCGCGGGAATATTTAGGGCCCGTTCGGACAACCTTAGATTGTTTCTTCGGATTATTGGACAGACTGGATTATCAGGTAGCGGAAATGATAATCATAATACTCATAATAAGCGGATAATCTACATGTCCGGATAACGTTGAAATAGCATTAAGCTCTCAGGATATCTGTGTTGTGTGGGAATAATTGCCTCCGAAGGTGATTGTTTTCTTGGCGGATTATTGGGATAATCAGGAGTTCCGAATGTTGGATTATTCAATTACACGAACAGCATAGATTATTGTGATAATCCAAAAGTCGATAATCCGTCAGATTATCGCCAATAATCTATATTATTGGGTTGTCTGAACGGGCCCTTAATATGCGAAGAAGGGAGATATTGGTGGGACTCTCGACTCCAGCAATGTGTCAAGTTATCGATTCAGGCCTCCCGCCCAGATACTGCTGGTGCTAGTGTATAGGATAAAACACCGTTTGAAAATGACCTCTGTTATAATAATGACTGTGACATATAGGAGAACATCATGCACTGTCCCTTTTGGGGTAGTGGCGAACCGGGTGTAATGATAAATACACGCTTACCAGCGTAAGAACCAGAAAATGCAGTTGCTCAGGGCAAGGATAATTTGTATGGAGTGGCGTCGTTCTCTCATACAAATAATCCCTGTTTCCGTTACTTGCATTTTCTGGTTCTTTTGAGGGTAAGCTGTACAGTCGCTCACCTACTGCTGGCGGATCCTGTCTGATGGTTCTGTTTGCAGTAATTTGCCCTTGGCGTCCAAAACCTAACTCTTTTACTGGCCTCAAATCCCTGACCGCCATCAGACAGGATCCGCCTTCACCCCGTGAGTGACTGTACTAGGTTTCCTAGCTAGATATTGGCCTGAGCGTCACCCTGCTGGACTATCAACTGTTTCGTCGTTGCTCCAAAAGTGACTATAGTTGTAAAGGGGCGATACATGTATCAATGCCCGGGCTAAGATTAACCTGATAGCAGATGTAGCATATAGAGGTAGACAAGGCTAAGCATTTAGACAAATCTACTTAAACAGGAAGCTGAAGATGTAGAGTCCTCGGGGTAACGTTGCCAATGGTAGGTTGGACTACGTTGCCAATGATAACGTGAGCAACGTAGCCAATGATAGGTAGGGTAGTTTAAATGGTGAGAATATTTAACGCAGCACAGCGTCTACTTCTCTTCAATTCTTCCCACTCCATACTTCATACCATTAAAAAACGAACTTACCACCACAGCAGAATTCGAAGAAAGCATGTGTCCGAAAGAAGAGGAAGAAGAAGATTGATGGATGTGATCTGGAATTTTTCTACAGTACCACATCCTCCTATAGCAACCCTTGAGCTTCTAAATAACACAGCTTTAAACATAGCTAACAATAAAAAAGTTGTTCCCCAGCAGAAAACCCCATAAATAGCAAACTCCTTAGTCACGGGGTTATAGAACCACCCCTAAGCCAATCAGAAATGTCTCTCACCCGAGTGACGGGCCATGCATAACAGACACCCCAGCAGGTAAACGTCCCAGTTTCCAGATTCTAGACCTCTTTTTCTCACCACCATCACATCAACCACCAACTACCAACTACCACCACCAACGACGTCGGAGACATGTCATAATCAGTTAACGCTACGCACCCATCTCTATTTCAGTATCAAATCGAACCCTACCAACAAAAAAGCAGAACCCGCAAAAATAAACCCCACCAAACCTCAAAATTAAAAGAATTTGAAGAATGAAAAAAGGAAAAGAAAAACTATGGTATAAAAAGCGGCTATCAAAACGAACAAACGCCAGCTAGATATAACAAAGTGATACCAATAAAGAGAGCAAAAAAGGAATATGAAGAAAAGAAAAAAGCAGATACATGGAAAGAGGCTCGTGCCGTTAATAAAAAGGGGCTGATCTTTATCCTGTCTTTTTTTTTGTTTCCCCATTCCCTTCCCAAAGATCCGTTGAACAAAAAAAGGAACCATAAAAGAAGAAATTTTTAAAAAAAACACAACATAACGTTAACGTAGGGAAAATAGATAACGTAAAAAGGAGGCAGTTAAGAGTATTGTAGGTAACGTAAAAAGGGTAGTTAAGTAGAGGTGTGATATGATGAGGTCGAAACATAAAAATGAAACCAGTTTTCGCAAAAAAATAAAAGGGCTCCCAACTGAAGTCATATGCAGGCAGGCCTTCGTAAAAACATGAAAAAACAAAGAAATGAAAAAAAGAAATATAAAAATAGGTATATCGCCACATCCTCCCGACCAATTGCAACAAAAACAATATGCATTTTTATTTTTCCCACCTAGCTTCCGTAAAACAAGGACTCTAGAAGAAAAAAAGTTACACATTTCAGTCACCCCGTTAAAAGAAAAAGATAAGAAGTAACTGAACCCCAAATTGACCCAAAATCTAAGCTTTCGTAATCGTCATCCAAATACCTCCGTTAGGTGGATATTACGGTTTAATTTTTCTGTTTAGAGGCCAATAACGCTGCCAAACTGGCCAAGGGGCATCCCTTCCTGAGGAAGTCGTGCTTCAAGAGCTCCTCGGCAGTGGCACGGTGCTTGACATCGACACACAAGCACACAGCCAAAAAGTTCTTGAGCTCCTTACTCAACTTCTCAGGCTTCTTCAAGGTGGGTGTTCCATGAGTTGCAATAAGATAGAGGGCCTTGAGAGGCTCCTCGTTCAAGTAGGGTGGTTCGGATTCGATCATCTCGATGGCCATGATACCAAGAGACCAAATATCAACCTTGGCGTCGTACTCCTTCTGCTTGACGACTTCAGGTGCCATCCAGTACGGGGTACCGACCATGGTGGCACGCTTGGATTTTTGTTCGGTGAGCTTGGCGCAAAACCCGAAATCGGCTATCAAAAGTTATGTGGTTAGAACGTGAAATATGGGAAGGAGGATAAATACGGATGTAACATACTAATCTTCACGTGACCATGGGCATCCAATAGGACGTTGTCACTCTTAATATCTCTGTGGATGATGTTCTGGGCGTGCAAATGTTCCAATCCCTTGCAAGTCTATTTGAGAGAACAAAATCAGTATCCAGCACGGTGATCCAAATAGAATATCAAACATACCTCGAAGCAGATAGTGGCAATCTGATCTTCCTCAAGAGTGTTGGCCTCAATGACATCTGTAAGTGCACCTCCCTCCATATATTCCATAACAACCCAAAGCTCGCTGTTCCCCTTGAGGAAGGCGTCCAAGAAGTTGACAATGTTCGGGTGCTGACTCTCCTTCATGACCAAGATCTCGTTGACGATCAACTCCTTCCTTGGTTGGTGTGCGAGATCCATCTGCTTAATAGCCACTCTAGCACTATTCTTTCCAGAGCTTGAAAGCATAGATGCGGCCATGGCAGAAGCTGGCGATGTGTTGATCTTGGCAACATAAACGGATCCAGAAGCTCCCTGACCAACTTTCTTGAGCTTTGTGTATGATTGATTGGGGTCTCCGGGTGATACAACAGAGCGCAGCTTCTCCATAACCTGGGCTTCGGTCATGCCCGAAACACGCCTCTGGTTTTCCTTGCGTTCCTGCTTTGTAATGACCTCCTTTGCCGCATTTGCCGGCTTTGTTGGGACATTGAGTGGCTTGACAGTCGGGGTTGTAGGAGCTGGGATGCGTGAAGCCTGGTTTGAAGACTGAAGCGTTGTCTGCTTGGTATTGACAGGAGTCGGGCCACGAGCTCCAGCAGCTGGGCTAGGTTCCCTTGACGGAGTCTTCTGGTCCGGCCTTGACGGAGGAGTACGTAGGGTGGTTTGACCACCAGGTGTTCTCTGAGAGCCATGAGTTGGTCTGGGAAGAGTTCCACCAGGAGCAGAAGGAGCAGGCCTTCTGGGATCCATATCCCGGCCATTCGCTCCCTTTGTAGCTGTTCGCTGAGAGCCGGAAGTCTTGGGAGCCATTGGGTTATAACGCCCTTGAGAAGACAAGCCTCCACCACCTCCAGTCATCATGATCGGCTGCTGAGCTGTGCTAACCTTTTGAGGGTAATCATCCTCCTCGTAATCATCCTGTTGATGACTGGACTGGTTGAACAGGTCTTCCTCTCTTTGACGTTCTTCCTGTTCACGCTGCTCGTTCTCGCGCTCAATCTGGCGGCGTTCCCGCTCTTGTTTTTCACGCTGTGCCTGCTGTTCGCGCTGAGACTTCTCGTACTCCTGTTCTCTATACGCATCACGTTCACGCTCCAGCTCCCACTGCTCACGTTCACGCTCTTCTTGCTGTTGGTTGGCCAACCCAGCCAATTGCCGCTGCTGTGTCGCATTGAGCCCCTGCGGCGGTGGCATTCCGGCAAATCCACCCTCCTCATTCATGCGCTGCTGGCCCTCGGTGTAGAACTCCAACACCTCGATGACAGCCTGCGGGTTCTTCTGGTAGTCCTCCTTTGTGATGGCGCTGGAGTTCAACAGCTTACTCCACTCTTCGGGAAGACCTGTGAAACCCCCGCTGATGGGATCAAAGCCGACATGTACCTTGTGAGTGAAATTTGTGGGGTTGGATACACCACCCATGGACGGGCACCGAGAGTACACCTCGTCAATCCAGGCATAGAGGTCCTGGTCTGACTTGACGGAGACAAACACGGTGCGTCGAGGCGCATCGGGGGAGATGGTATTTCCCTGTTGTGATGAGGATGTGCGAACAACCTCAAAGCAGTAGGGCTTCAAGTCTGTGCGGTTGACAGAGATGATGTCCTTCAGGGGGATAGAGAGAGACATGGACGTTGACGACTCATTCTTGTGGAAATCCAGCGAAATCTCGCGCAGAATTAGGTACTTCTTTGTCCAGTAGAGGGACTTCAAACCATCCTCCTTAATGGAAGCCCATCCTTCGTGAATCTTTCCATCTGCGTACGACATCTGAGTCCCGTTGTTAGCAATAATTTGACTGGTGTTTGTGTTGACCAGACTCATGTTAGACCCGTATGGAGATGGGGAGTTGATGGTTGACACGGTGGAGTGGTGAGGGTGATGGATTGTGGAGGCTATAGACGCAGCAGAGCTCGCGACAGGAGGACGGCCCTGAGGTGGACGCGGGGCAGGTCCGGGGTTCAAGAAGGAATTGTCATTGTATTGATAACCTGAGGCCATGGTTGATCCTTTTTCTCGTTCGGGGAGGAGTAGGGGTAGGGTTTGAGTAGTAGTGTAAGAGGATGGAGGTAACTGACTTCTACCAGTTTAGGACAAACTCAAATGCAAGGGGAACCAACGCAGGAGGGTGCAGAAAGGAAGGGAGTGATGTAGGTGGTAGATAAAACAGCTCGACGGGGTTCCAAGCCGTCAAACTCGAAATAGTTAACGGAGGCGGAAGTGAATGTGGTGGTTGATGGTTTATAGAATGAGAGTGTTGTGAAGGACCCGGTGGGGTTGGCGGGCAGAAGACGCGAAAGCCCCTTAACGGCGGTCAAACTTCGGGGATGAGCAACGGAATTTTACAAGTCACATACAACCTCTTCACGGGGTATTTGGAGGTTAACTTACTTTTTGATATTTCGACTCACACGTTGACACGTTCCGAATTTCTGGAATAATTGAAATGTCGGTGCTTTTTTGCCTCTGGGCTTTTGTGGTAGGAGTTTGTGGGCTCGAAGAAGCTGAGCTACGGGTGCTCTTTCCTGCCTTGTATATTCTTCGGCTGGTTGCAGCGTAAGTAGACTGGCGAAGGGAGGACCGGTGAGATGCAGGAAAGCTAGGAAGGGAGCTGATGGAGAGTGAGGGAAAGTGATGCTTACCGAAAAAAGTAGCTGTGCGAGCAGAGAATTTGACCGAGAGTAACGGTCAAGTGTGCCACAAAGAAGTTTTCGATAGAGATAAGTTTCTTTATTGCTGAGTAGATGATGATGATTGTATCCAGGGAGATGAAAGCCAGGATGGTTGGTGCTTCTCGGCTTTGAGAGGGGAGGTGAGGGGGGTAGTAGTCGTGGAACAGTACACAGTATATCGGTCACACACTTACTCAAATCTGAGAATGGAACAGAATTCCTAGGGACACTTGTTGCTACTGCTGCCTGCCAGTGCTCGGCGTAACTTTGTGTGGGGTACTACACCTACTTAGGGCTTCATGTAATATTACTATTGATCATGTACCTGCTACCAACAACTTCTGCTTATGTCTTTAATACTGCTGTTACTCTGCCGCTGTTTCTTTTTTCTTCTTTTGCTGGCTGCTGAGAAGTAAACCGGTCAGAATCAGGCGCGGCTGCTATGTACTCTTGAATAGAGACAAGAGGAAGTGGGTAAATGTAGGTGCAGTGACATGAGGAGCCCTACATACAGTAGTTAAAGTACAATGCCAGAAACAGAAACAGGCGCAACAAGTGAACAAAACAGAAGCAACTGCGCTGCATGCACGACCGAAGAACATCGCTCGCGCCGTGCACCATCTCAATCTTAATTTCAACCCCTCTCCTCTCTTCTCTCTCTACCCGGAACCCTAAACCTTGTTCCTCTTGTTCTACATATTCCTTCCCCTTCCCCTTCCCTGCTATCATAACCTGGGTTTAGAGGTCTCTCTTTTCTAAAAATAAAACGCCCCCACTTACTATCTTCCTCTCCTGTTCCTGCTCCTCCTGGGCGAATCTACAGGCACAAGCTAGTTTACTCTATTCAAACGTACAGGCCGATCTCCACATCCAGAAAAGACGCGGCACCTCACTACAAATCTACCGCCAAATAGCTAACGACCCATTCAAATTTGTTCATTCTCCTGTAGATTACCTTCCTGAAGTTACGTATCTCAACTACCTCAAACAGCGCCTAGAAAGATCAACGTCTCAGGTTTAGTTATTAAGTTGTTACTTATTAGCCTCGTGCAATTGGATGATAGACAATGCCCTTGTCCTCCTCGCCACCAGCGATTGGCCCCCACTAGCGGGAGAACCAAACTAAACCTGACCCTAAGGTCCCTGAGATTCCTGAGCCCTGGCCGATTGCCTAGATGAGTCGACTTCGGGCTTACTATCCCCTCAAAACCGAAGGAAGCTCAGCCGCACTCTCCGAATATCGCTGCCTCCTGGGCCGCCTGATGACTGACTGGCTATCTGACTGACCGCAACTCTATATTATCGGTCCTTCTACCTGCATACATCCCTAGAGTAAATAGGACGTATTTGCTGTAGAGTACATACTCTCAATTCAACTCTATCACCGCCGCTGGAAGTCAGCAGCTACCTCCCGTGCCAAGACGTACCACCTAGTTGTCGCACAGAGACATGAGAGACACAGACATAGGTAATAGACACATGCAAGGCGATTCCCTTGTTCTACAACGTTCCCTCCCGTACCAATCCCGTGGCTGCGGGAAAGAAGGAGGCGGCGGAAGGAGTGGTAAATTAGGCACGTTCGCTCGCTCTCAGCCGGAGATCAGATATAGAATAGAGACAGGACGGTACGTACCGTGATAACAATAAAGACATAACATGAAGCTCTACGTATGTGAGCTTTGGAGAGACGCTGGATATCTCTCTATACAGTGGTGAATAGGAAAAGAAGGGGCAAAAAAAAAAGAAAAGCTTCTAAATTTGAATGTCCAGACGTTCTCTCGCGAGATTCAAGGCAGGCAAGCGGAACCCAAAAGCATACATAAACAAAAGAACACATTTTACTCCACATCTCCATATCCCAATGTCTCTAAATTCAAATAGCTGCCACACCCGTGTGTTCTACAGTCTCACCAGCGTAACACAACCTATCCCCCCTTCGGCGCGTAACCCCCACCTTTCACACCACTACACCAACGTTATCCCCAACATACATACATAGCCGCCCCTTATCGATAACCCTCTTTGTCGGCAGTCCTGCAGTTTACCAATCCGGCGGCGGCTGCCACAATCTCACTTCTCAGCGTCTACACGTTCTAAATATTACTCTCCTTTCATTCTTCATGCAATCTCGGGACTGACGTAACACTGTATTTTTGGAAGGGCACTGGAAAGTTCTAGGGAATTTATCCCCCAATGTGGATGGGAGGCACAGATTACAATGCTCGCCGCCTACGGTGTGGCACGGGGATTTGCAAGGGATCAATTCGAGATTCGGGATTCGGGATTCGGGATTCGCCAGAATCGGGATACCGTTAAAATGGTAAATACCAGATGATTACTTGGGATTTATGACCTGTGCATACGGCGCTAGCACCAAAACCAAATATCTCCGCAAAACTCAAGCTTACAGGATTTATTCCAAGAAAAACAAAACAAAATTTTAAGGCTAGAGTACTCGACGATACCTTAAAATTTCCGGGTCTGCAAAAATTGTTGCAATTCTATCATTGCTTCAACTATTAAAATCTTGCTTTTTTAGTGATTACCATCACCAAAAATATCAAGTACCCAAAAGCAAAAAGCAACTATGTACCAATTGAAGGATTCAAACTCCAATATTTACAACTCTGTTCTAAGAAATAAAGAAAAACTTCTCAACTGCAAGTGAATTCCTTATCTTTAAATTCCTAGTATAAAAAAAAAGCAGAAAACGCCGCCCAAAATCCAACTAACTTTTATCCGCCCTGTTCCGTCCGTAGTAGAGTAAATATACAGATTTCGGCTACTATGCAGCCTTCCGTCGCCCTCTCTCGTATTAAGTCGTCGACCGCCCTTTACAATCCCCCTGGGGGCTTCTTAGTCGATGTCCATACCGGCCTCGTCCTCGTCCTCGCCCTCGCCCTCGCCCTCGTTCTCCTCAGCAGCCTTTGCAGCAGCCTCCTCCGCCGCCTTCGCCGCCTTCGCTGCCTGCTCGGCAGCCTTAACCGCCTCCTTCTCAGCAGCCCTCACCGCCGCCTCCGCTCTAGCCTCCGCTCTCTCCGCAAGCTTCTGCTGCCTCTTCGACAATGGGAGCGCTGCAACATCTGTACCATCACTATTAACCCACATTCTCTCTCTCTACACATGTGCGGGAGCTACTACTAACCAGTCATCTCGACAATGCCGTTCTCCCCCGCCTTCCTAATCTCATCCAAGGCCTCGTCCTTCCTCTGCTTCGCGAATCCAACACGGCGCTCGGTGCGGCGCACCTTCTTGGTGCTGAGTGTGCGCCCGCGGTGGACGCCGGAGCCGCTCTGGGTCTGTGTTTCGGTGGTAGTGGAGCGGGCGGCGATGGGGCGGGCGCGCGCCTTAACACCAGCTTTGACGCCGGCCTTACGGCTGCGCGAGCGGTTCTTGACGGAGGTGGGAACGTTGGGGTTTCCGCGGGAAGGCATTGTGGCGTGTAGGGTGAGTTTGGTTGTGGGGTGAAGGTTAATTTGGTGAAGTTTTAGAGCTTGGGTTAATTTGGAGTTTTCTGCTGCTGTTTTTTTAGGTGAGGTTGGGTTACCCGGCTTGTGGTGGGTTGCGAGTGATGTCTTGTGCGGAGGCGTGGGCTGTTACGTCGCTGTTACGGGTGTGGGGAAGTTTGGATCGATTTCTCTTACTAATGGTAAAATTATACGAAACGAAAACAAAGACAAGTACAATCTTATCCTTGTGTGACGACACTAATACTTCGATATACTAAGCTAAGTGCCTCCAGAAAAAAAGACCTATCCAAAGGGTCAAAGAGGTAATTGAACTTCATTTCGAGATATATTCACACTTATCTACAACCCGAACATTCATCCTCGAGTATAACTCTTTGATTGGGTGGGCAGTACCGGTTCTTTCCAACCAGATAGATATCTATACGCTGGAAAATACTGCCGTTCCCTTAAACTGTGTATACAAGCTATCCTAAGTTTCTGATGACCCATTCATAAGTATCGATATCAACAATTTCGAATCAATGATAAGAATTTAATAGCAAAGCCACACCTTTGGCCCCCACAAAGAAAGTGACAGCGTGTTTCGGGCTTAAGGAGTATATATATCGCCTACTCCGCCAGGGTAGACTGCTGGCCGCTCAATATCAATGGTGCTACTATCCGGGCTTTATGCAGCTGCACCTGTTTAGTATGGCTGCTGTTGGGTTAAAATACGGATCTCGTGCCGGGAACCGACCGTTATGTTTAGAATAGGTGGGAGCCGAGCCAGTTATTACGGACTGCACCTGGGTTAGAGTACGATTTCTTTTAGAAAGAAAAATCCGGTTTTGTAAAGAGGTATTATTAGGCTCCAACGGTGCCTAGATCCGTTCCGAGTCCTGAGAGGGATCCCGCACAGTACTCTACACCCGAAACAATATCGGGGTCTCTTTCTCCTAACCCGAGTAAAAATACTACCTAGCTACTTGGGTGTATATATTGCTTGGATGAAGTTATATTGCTATCTTCGCTGATAGGACAGGATGGCGGTGATGAAATGAGACCGTTTTATTACGCGGCCGGGAAAGAAGTCGTGTTTTTCTTCACGGGTTATCACTCGATGACCAGGCCACTTCCACAATATACTGCGGCGTTGGGGCACCACGCTTCCGGCCCGCGCCTGGTAATCTCCCGCTGCTTCCGTACGGAGATATGCGTAAATGATTATACCCCTGTATTATTAATAGAGGGGTGCCCCACGAGTTGCCCGAGAAGTACATAGCACTACCGCCGATGCCCGCTGCAGGAATAATGTATGAGTTATAGCACCCATTACATGCAAGGACTGGCGCGCTGCCGGCACGGTTTAATTTATGCACCCCCGGGTCGGGGAGCGGCGATAGTTGGACCATCCAGGGAGATCCCTGGTGAGCCACGGTGTTGGAGATTGCGGTACGTGTTGTCCTCTCCGGGATCGATAGTGGTGATGGGCTGAGGCTGGGCGAGCTTTATCTGACCTTGAAGCTGTAGGTTTGGCCCTTGGTATCTTACTGCTTTTCGTTGATGCCTTTGCTGGATTTGATCCATAGCAGTAGTGGCCATAGATATAGAGCAAGGTGAATCTTAGTCTAGATCTATCGTTAATAACGACTGGTATTACACCCCCATCAGCACAATCTATCCTATGGGGAATATGTTACTTTTCATTCCCGAGTTGGTGATCATCCCCCTTAAACGGTGAGCAGAAGTTCTTCAGTGATAAGGATATACCCCACATCCCCGAGCGAAATTCGGGATCTCCGGTTCCTCATACGGGATAGAAAGTCAGTACTTGGCCCGATCCCCGGTAGGCGCGCATATCCATCCGTGCGGCGGCCGCGGCTACAATGTTCAATGTACGCCTCACTCTCATGAATATGTACCTCCTTCAGGTAGCGCGGATGGTAGGTAGACCTATCAGTTCAGAGCCAATCGCATGAGGTTAACAGCCGCGGTGTGTTTTCAATTTCAGTGGTAGAAGGTCATCATGTTGTGTACTACTAGTAGTGATGAAGTCGGTCCTGGAGTACTATCGTGATATGGGTCATGTTGGAAGGCAATGCCAAGCCTAGGTTGCAGCAGTGGTTCTTGGCGCCCGAGTGATAGCACATGATGAACCCAAATGTAGCCAGATGGTGTGGGTGCGTTGTGTTCCAGTTCGCAACGTGAGGGGCGGGCGTACCTACGTGTTAGCTGGAATGGAGGGATAGCTTGGACAGGTAGGGAGGATAGACGCGAGTATATTGCACTGGGCTGCGCGGCGTTCCTGGTTGGGGCTTGGGCAACAGCTGAGTATGCATATGTGTTTGCGGGTGCACGTGTTGGTTCTTTTAAGCAATGGTTACTACATGTAGATTACAATAATTTCTACAGAGCTATGTTAATGGCGTCCGCTCATCTAGCTAGACCAGTTACACTAATCTCAAGTCGCAAACACTGGAGAATGGTTACGACTCCAAAAAATGTATGTAATTGACGATCGTAAAGTCATGTACTTATATATACAAGCGCGGATACCTAAATATATATATACTCCTCACAGCTTCGCCCTGTGGTCCGCCGTATCCACCACTTCTGTCTTTGCCCTTTCTCGTAGCACCTTCTTCAATATCTTCCCGGACTACAAGAAAAACTGGGTTAGTATCAAATAAAGATGAATTAGAAAAACGAAAGTGTCACATACCGGATTCCTGGGAACGTCTTTCACTATCACTACGCCACCGGTGAGCCATTTGTGTCTGCTTGCCCGCTCGGAAACCCACTTCTTCACGTCATCGGGTATTAGTGAGGCGCCGGGCTTGAGCACGATGTAGGCTCGTGGTCTTTCGTCTTCGGCACTGCGCGGGTATTAGAGATGTTACAGATGTCGGGGATGGGGGAGACGAACTAGGCAATCCCAATGACTGCCGCATCAGCAATCCCGGGGTTCTCCAGTAGAAGCCCTTCTAGTTCCGCTGGTGCCACTTGGTTTCCTTTAACCTTGATAAGTTCCTACATGTCGCGGCTTTGTCAGACTGTGTGTACCATTGTGCCCAAAATCTTGAAAGAGCTGTCATATCATACCTTCTTCCGGTCAACGATAAACCACTTCTTCCGCTCATTGTAGTACCCGATGTCGCCGGTCTTTAACCATCCGTCCTCTGTGATGGTCTCCCGCGTGGCCTTCGAGTTCTTGTAGTACCCCTTCATGACATTCGGGCCCCGAACCCAGATCTCGCCTTTCTCGCCAACAGACAGCTCCTGGGTCCCCGTCTCCGCATCCATGATCTTTCCTTCACAGTTCGGGAACACCTCGCCGATAGACCCATCTTCATCCCTATCATCCGGATGGAAGCCCATAACTGAACATGTCGCCCTACCAGTATCTTCATCAGTTCATGTCTCCAGATACTAATACTCGCAGCCTATATAAAGAAGGATACATACTCAGTCATTCCCCACCCTTGCTTCAGGTTGATATTCTCCTTCAGGCCCCGGCCCCGGCTAACCCGCCCCTCCACCGCACGGCTAATCTCTCGACTCAATGGCGCGGCGCCACAGCCCAGATTGACGACGGAGCTCAGGTTGTATTTTGCGACCTCGGGGTGCTTTGCGAGCGCAACCATGATAGGCGGGACGCCGCTGATGTTGGTTATCTTGAACTGTTCCACGCAGGAGAGGAAGGTGTGGAAGTCGAATTTAGGCAGGATCCAGGTGGTTATTTTACGCACAGGGGCTATTGTGGCGTAATACGTTTGCCCGTACTATGAATAGATTAGAATTTTTAAACAAGCGAATAACCACTGTTTTTCAGGGCGGGCTGGGGCACGAACTGCGTGGTACATGGGAATGGCGCAGAGCCAGTGCGGTGTCACGTAGGGCTTTTGGCTCTGGTTGCGGACATGGACATTTTGCTGGGCGTTTGCGACGAAATTACGGTGTGTGATTTCTACTCCTTTTGGGACGCCGGTGGTACTAGTATAATCTTCAATTAACTTTATCAGGGGGGCGAATTCAGGAGAGAAGAATACCCAGACGAATAATTGATCGCCGCTGTTCTATTCACCTCCTCCTCGGTGCTCAACTCTTCCCAAGCAAACTTATCATTCCCCGCCATGACAATATCACTCCAATGCCTCACACCCTTGACCCTCTCCCTTGTCGTCCACTTCACGATGCCGCCCTCATCATCCACATATAGTCCATCATCAAACACAAAAACCTTCTCCGGATCCAACCCCACCATCTTCGCCGCCTCAATCCCCACATCAATCGATCCTACATTTACGAGTAAAAACTCGGCCTCGGAGTCTTTCAACTGATATGCTAGCTCGCGCGCAGTGAACGTGGGATTCGCGCCCGTGAAGATACCACCGGCGGCGATGATGCCCGTGAACACGGTGGGAAAATAGATGTTGTTGCCCGAGTAGAGGAGCACACGATCGCCGGGGAAGAGGCCGCAGGAGATGAGGCCAGAGGCGATACGCACCACGGTACTGCGGTAGGAGTGTGTGGTGAGGTAATGATTTGTTGGAGAGAGGGCATCGATGTAGAGGGGTGCTTTGGGGAGTGGGTGCGTCGGAGAGGTGAAGACGTAGGTGGGGAAGGAGCATTGAGGGATGGCGCATTGCCAGCGAGATTTGACGGGCATGGCTGCGGTTGGTGGGTTGTGATAGTATGGATTTCAAGTACTTGGGATGAAAAGTGATCTGGAGGGAAGAATACCGATCTAGAGAGTGGAGAAGAGATTTTGGTTATTGGAATTTAATATAAAGACTTTCGTTCGTTGGTTGGTTGGTGTAAGTACTTATCTATATAGCATTTAGGTGAATATTCAACAAAACAACTTTCGTACTGCCTCTACGTAGTACCGGTGTAGGTAGTGAGTTTAGTAAGGCGCCCCCAATTAGAAATTCTCGGTAATAATCTCGGCACCTGCTCCGTTTGGGCAAAGCGCTTTGTGGGGTAACAACTAGCTGCAGGGAATAATAGGTGGGTTGCCGAGGCACGCTTGATTGCTTCATAGTAATACCTAGTGTTTGAAAATTGTTAGATAGTACTTAGAAAGAAAGCAAGTAGGAAGGTAGGTAATATAAATATGCCTATTTCCGAAATGCTTATTTTCTTGACTATTCTTCGAACTGGCCGTTCTTCTCTAGAATCCCCCAACTTACAGATTGAACTGGCCAACTGAGCATCTTCACCAATATGAACCGCTACCTATCTGTATCGCGGCTGATATCATCGGCACCGAGGTTCATTCCAACAACCAAGCGCTCTTTTTGACGCATTCCTTACATGTGCATACTGTAGCCAGCAAGCCATGGAATGTGGTGCATAGCCCTTCGGAGTAGATATCATCCGTTACCCCGCATGGTAGGGTTTTGTACCGAATGCCGTTGGGACTCGAGCAGCCATTGACAATGCCAAGAGGCGACGGATATAGCGGAAGTACATTTGTTGTTGGGCTCCGAGTGATGAGTGGTGATGAAGGAGATAGAATTTGAGTATTGGGGATTGGTGACAGGGGGATCCATAAAGCCCAGGATTTTAGGACTGGTGGAAGTTGATTAATTGTGGTAACTGAGGACAGAGTATTGCGAAATAGTTACTCGCAGTTGTGGCCAGCGTGGCGTTGTTTGTGGGCGTTGTGGGTTTTAAGTTCGAGTTGATTTAGCTGGATATTAAACTTGGCTTTCCGAATATACTCAACAAGGCTCGAGTGTCATCTGTTTCGGTTTATAACAGCAAACGGCTCGGCTATAATTTTACAGCACAATCGGCTCTCGTTATGTCTTCTTAAGCAGGCCGCACCTAATGTCTTTATAATTTAAAGAGTGAAAGACAAACTTGGACATAAGTGAAAGGCTAGCTGGAAGGGTGATATATATATATATATGACAGGAGGATATGATGGAGTGGCTTTTATATGAAAGATAATTAGGCTTTGGAGATCGATCAGCGAATGTTTCCTCAAGGTGGTTTTATTTTTATATCCCATGGCCAAGGATGTAGAGTATATAATATAATTCCTTTCATAGAAAAAAGAAATCTAAGACCTGATATTGCCGAATCTCAAAAGGAAATCCCGTGTAAACGTAAATGGCAAATAGATAACTAATCTTCTGGTGCAAACTAAACTATAAATACCCATCAATTCGCCCAAGCTTGACATCGATAAAAAGCTTATTTATTAGTAGGAGCTAGGGCAAGATAGGAAAATCGGGGTTAACTTAGATGATATATATGACGTCGCTACAAACTACATGTACTGTATGTAATTCACATGTAGGTTAATCCGGACCTTCTATGTCGTCTCACCATCTCACGTGGCTGGCATGGAAGTAAAACATGGCTGGTTGTGTTCTCAATTGCTGTAAACTACATCTCCTTCTTTGACTACATGAACCAGCTCTTCCGTGACGGTAAATCGGAATGGGAGGTCAAGAGCATTGACAATATTGTCACACGAACATGAAACATATGGACATGTAAGTAACCAAACTAAGTTTTATACCACCATATATACCATCTGTTTCAGAATAACATAGATTTTAAGTAAAAAATGAGTGCTGCAAGCACATATCGTAATCTAGAGGACGTCGTGGAGAACAGCGTGGAGGACACATCAAAGGACACCTCAAAGTACACCTCAGGGGGCACCTCAAAGGATGTCGACATCATGGATGGCACTTTGGAAGACATCGTGGAGCTATCAGAGGCAGGCTATATATAGCAGGATCAAAGGACTGCTCCACCAATGTGCACTAGGTCTTTCAATGCAGACACACGGGTCTCTGCAGGACATGGAAACATATGGACTGGACCATTTGCGGCTTCATACACATGGAAGACTTGGTGGACACCATCGAGTTCCATTCCCCGCACGAAGCTGGATACGTCTGGTAGGACGACCATCCGCCATACGCGTGGCATATATGTGATATACCATTGACCATTGGCTATCCATACAGCAAAATGGGGGCAACCTTTTTTACCCAAACCCAACTCGCTCGCTCAGAACAGACAAACAAGAAATATATGTTCTCCCAGAAATCTCGTATGCTATGAAACCCGGTACGGAGCGGCGGTATACCGGTAGATCGTAATTGAAAGATCACTTCATGACTTCTTACCAACTATGCTTATTGGACCTCCCTCCTCCCCCTCTCCCGCTCACCGGATCAACACAGTAACCGGTATGATGTGCACGTAACCTTTCCCATGCAAGGGATCCAAATACACTCACTAACGAATAATGCATCATAGCTGGCTCCTTCGTCAAGCCCCCTCAATTTTGTGTCCGATCATCAAATTCGATTAATTGCACGATCATCGGGGGCAATCAAGTAAACTGACCGAACACATCTCAGCACCCGTATACGTAGCATCGTAGCATGATGCTGGTGAGACGTGTATGTATGTTTTCTCATTACCATATCACTTATAGCTTACTCTGCGTTACATAGACAACACGACGATCCTCGTGATATTTGATACATCGACTTCTGAGGGGGTGAGGGTCGGGCACAAGCGAAACCACCAAGCTTTTTGTCAAAAACGTCAGCAGAGAGACTCAGGCTGCATATCCTGGGGAACAGGAGCCGATGATGGGAGATCACCCAGCCAATGGATCAAATCGACCCGACTGCAACCGTGTTCGTATATTGTGGAGTACATATATCACTCGATCCAGTCCAAGACTTCACCTGGTCCCACCGATCCTACAAGGATCCTTTTTTGGCTGGTAAAAGTGCTGGCTTATGGTGACTGGAATGTTATGAAGCCAACCAGTTTATGACGTTTCTTTCCAGAATACAAAGAAGTCTGCATCGAAGCCTCAAAATGAACGAACTGGCTCTCTATATTCCTCTGTATCAAGACATTTCTCCGTGGTCATGGGTAAGTGGATTTATATGCAGAAGCAATATTATGTTTCACGCTAACCAGTATGTAACGCAACGATTAGATTGCTGTTCGCCTTTGGTGTATGTGAATGAGCGCGTACATTAACAACTGTCAACTGAAAATATGTCGTATTTGAGTTCTTAGATGAAACAAGAATATCGGCTAGGTATGCAATCCCAATCATATCCTATCACCCACATTTGGTCTCTACCAAAAATGAGCTATTAACATCAGCCAGTAGAATTTCTCCCACCTTTTGATATTACGATTGGTGCTCAAATCTACGCCCTAGACGCCTAGAGGCAAAAATTTCCGATCCTCATATAAGCGCTCCTGCTTGTGCGGAACCAAACCAATAGATGCCCAGGAATCAAAGCTGAGCCACTATGTTTCCGCCTCCCCTACATTTCCAGAACAGAACAGAAAGTCTTCCTTCGGACCACTACCTAGCGTGTTGTTTACCGCTCAGACCCTCATCGATATCGCCCTCATATACATACATATATGTACATAATGCACTCCCTACTCCGAGCCGAACAGGGTATCCCATACACAGAACAAGTTGGATCCTTGAATCCGGGTCCGGGAGGCGTTTCGGTAACCTTGCTATCCAGAGGCCGGCATACGCAAAGTGCTATAACTCCTGATCCACACAAGGATCATTGTCTCAGTCTCAGTGCCACCTGCTCTCCCACGCGTTCACCCACCCACCCATCCAACGATGGAGTCAAGCCGAGTCGTTTCTCTTCCTCGTCAATCTCCCCTCGCCTGTCCATCCATTAATCAATCTATCCACCCATCCACCCATCCACCCATCTACACCACAACCATAACCACCCTATCTGCATCAGATAAACAGGTCTTCCCCCTGCGACATTTCGCCCCACGAACCCCAGCCGCATATATCCCTTTTAACCCCTCCTATATCCAACACATATCGCCAATAACATGGACTGCCAATCGTTTAGGTTGAAGTCGGGCCGATGTTATGAGTGGATGGCTGAATATCAAAGTGTTGATGGGCGACAGAAGGATAAGTGACAATCACTACTGATATTACGATAGAGCTTGTCGATGGTCGTCTGTAACAGGGACTCTAGTGTCGAAACCACTGACCGTTCGAGTATAGCTAGTAATTAATTGATACTTCCGACGGGACGGAAGGTCCGCCGATTAACCACCCCCCTCTTTCCTCCCAACACCTCGGGCCGTTCTATCTTCCCCATTCCCCAGTATCAGTAGGCCGGTTCGATCATCAGCAGTAATCAATGCTGCATCATGTATCTTCCATCTTGCTGTTTGGCGTATGACTGGCAATCAGATCCAGCATTGTTTTTGCAGTCGGAGTTGTGGATCGTGGCAGCAGCGGGGAGAAAGGGAAAAGAAGGAAAGGAGGGGAAGCCCAAATTTTTGCCATTCCGTAAACCCCGCCAACCCCACTATCACAACCCTAACCCCCCCAGAACCTGCCAGAACCCCGCAGATAACCAACCAAACAACTTGCGCCAGCGCATCAAGTGGTCCAGTTCTGGCAAAACCGAGCATGGGTAACAGTAAATTGGTTTATGATCTCCAGTGGGCAAAAGAAAGCAAGCGAATTGTGGTTCTTGATCACTTTAGTAGAAGTTCAAAAAAACTAATTATTGAAGAATCAAAATCTGGTATTTTTATTTGACTCTCCCGCAGCTCTTTTGTTTTTGCCTCGAATACGGCACCTAGAAAAAAGAAGCTCGAAAAAAAAGGGATCCTCCGCGTGCCCCGACCTGGCAAGATACTATGTATGAACAACTTCCTACAATCTCGTCCCCGAAACCAGCTCTAAGTATGCTAATGTTCCCGCCGCCCCATCTCCAAACCCACAACAAAAATATAAGCAAAAAAAGAGCTAATCCCACAAGTAAACCCCAATAATGAAAAGAATATACCCTGAGTAGAAAGAGAAAAAAACTGCCCCCACCATGTTAAAAACGAAATAGTAGTAAAACAAACTATTCAACACACCCCCAAGTGAAGCCGGTAAAGGAAAATAGACAAAAAATGTCAATAATAACACACTTCCAGCCGGCAGCCACCGCCAGCGGAAAAAAAGGAGATCAAACCTAAAAGAACACCCAGTAGCTCAACCACAACCACAATACACAATTCAATCCCCCGTCTTTTTTTCGTTAATGTTGTCGTATAAATGCAAGGAAAAGTAAAGGAAATGAATAAAAGAAAGAGATATCGATCAAACAGAACGAAGCGCACCAACAATCATCACCACCCACCCAAAACCCAAAACCCGCCATATAAGATGTCAGATATAAAACGAACACCACCCAAGCATGAAATCCCAATAGAAAAAAGCAAACCCCCAAGAACCAAGTCGATGAGATTGAGTAAGAAAGAAAAATGGGCTAAGATAGCAAGCAAAGCAGGAGTAGTAATAACAATGTGAAAAGAAATGGACAATGAAGTAAGGGGGGAATAAGATAAACAATGGAAGGGAATAAAGTGTACAGAAAGAAAAGGTGGAAAACTTATGTGCAGGAAAACCCAGGTATGAGGCTAGGGTATTTCGAATATGTCGGGATGCAAAAATCCCAGTAGATACAAAAATTGATGCTGACCCGAACCTCCTTGACCACACCACCAGCTGGGTTAAGGCAAAAAAAAAAAAAAAGGAAATCCCTCAAAATAAATCGACACCTACACGACCAGCTTCACTGCCATGATTCAAAATTCCCAAGATCGAAAAGAAGAGAACAATTGACCAATCTGATGACAGAAGCGTAGATCAAGTATGTACCTACACAGTGAGGTCCTCCCATCCACCTCCAACCCATTCGGCATCATAGCCGTCATCATCGTAGCCTTGGTCGGATTCGTAGCTCCAGCTCCTACGCTTAAGCTCCTTCTCACGTTCCTCGCGCTCGCGCTCCTCCTCCTCCTCATCCTCGATGACCCAATCACTCCAAGACTTAGAAATTGGCTCTTCAGGTTTGCCGAAAGTCATACCCAATGCATTCTCGGTCTTTGCAACCGCTGAAGTCTGAATCGGGATTGTCTCAGTGCGTACTTTGCTTTCACGCATTTTGTCTTCGCGAAGGTTGAAACGTTGCTCCATGGAAGTGAAAGAGCCACCAAGACCAGAATCGAATGAGGGAGTTGGGGGAACGTAGAAGCCCATGTCATGAGCATAACGATCGGGGCTGTTGACAAACATATCCTCGCTGTAGCGAACCATGGGCTCCTCTTGGTCGGGAATGACAGAAAGCTGGCGTGCCATTGGAGTGGAGTGCAAAGCCTGGGCCCAAGGGAAAGAGCCACCTTGTGCAACCTGGGGACTGGGAATGGATGGGGTGCGAAGGGGCTCGCGATTGGCTGAAGCAACGACGACATCTCTGTCCTCGGTGCAGAAGTCATCAAGACTTTCCTCGTCAGTGGTCCAGCAGACAGCTCTCTCAAGTGCCTCACGGACACCCCTGAGGGAACGCTTGTTGGGGTCGAGTGACAAGCAGTTGATAAGAACCTCAAAGGTGTCGTAGGACATGGTTGGGAAGATGTCAAAGAGAGATTCTCGGTCAAGAACGTAGTCTGCAAAGAGGGGGTCACTCTCGGAGGGGACAGTGAATGGATTACGGGCAAACAAAATGTTCAATAGACAGATACCGATGGCCCAAATGTCTGCCTGCTCAGGAGAGTATCCACCAAAAGAGTCATATTGCTCAGGTGCCATGTAGCGGTCACTTCCCACAGCAGACTCGTCTGTCCATTGTTCCATGGTAGCCAAACCAAAGTCACCAAGCTTGACAGATCCAGACGCACTCAAGAAGATATTCTCCGGCTTGATGTCACGGTGATAGACACCCCTGGCGTGCATGTGCTCCACAGCTGAAACCAGCTGCAGCATGAACTCTCTGACATGCTCAGTCTCCAAAGGTCCACGGCCAGAGCAGATAGTCTCATAAAGATCCCCCATAGGGCAGTACTCAAGTGCAAGAAAGACATGTGTCTCGGTCTCGAAAGAGTGGGCCAAGTTGACTATGTTAGGGTGAGAGCCAATTTGAGTGTGGTATTCCAGTTCCTGGGAAAGCTCATCAATAGCGAGGCCTGCACCTTCGGCACCAGTGTTAGCCTTAGCCAAGCACTTAATGGCGACCAATTCATTGGTGTAAATGTCTTTGGCGAGGTACACCATGCCGAAAGAGCCGTGGTTGAGGAGCTTGATGGATTCGAAGCGTCTATAAGTTCAACGATCGTAAGCTATGAATTACATCATAATATGGAATGCGGTGGATATCATACCCATCGAGGAGAGAACCCTCTTGGAAAATGTCTTTGATGCAATCCATTGAGTTTAGTGGTGCTGTAATTTGTTGTTTAAGGATTATGGTATAGGTGGAAAGTACTATCTTATTTGAACTCAAGAGTCGATCGAGTTGTTCGTAAAAAAGCCAGAACAGTCTATCTGAAGGCGGTTTTGATGGTCATACACACACTTAAGGAATGCCCCTCGCTGAGGTTTCAAACCTAAGGTTTATGAAGAATCTATAGTTCTTCGAGAAAACAGACGTTCAAATCTGTTGATGTGATAGGATATTGGGTATTGATAGGATTGATACTGATCGAGAGGGGGAAGAGAGAAAAGGGAAATGATTGGATGTTTAGACCGGCAACACAAGACGCATATAGGCGGTACGTTCCTCGGAGAGAGAATATATAATCGAAATAGTCGTGGGCTGTACCGTGTGTTGTTTGAAAAGAAAAGAAAAAAAGAGCGGATGGACTTATGAACGCATGAGAGATTTGCTATGAACTGTACAGGGAAACAACTGTTAGCACCGTGAATGCTTGCTGATTCTACTTCCAACTTGCAATATATGAGGATATATATGTAAAAAAAGGTTGTAGTTTAGTCCGGATGGTGTGACTCACGGATCGACGATAAGGAAACTCGTTCAGATGATAGCTCTCTAGAGCTATAGGGGGGATATTTGATTGCCCAGGTAATTATTTAAGAGATGAGCACACTACTAGCAGGTACCGGATGTAAAGTATCAGAGAACGGATGACCAGAAGTTGATTGAAGCTCTACAAGAGCCAACAATGAATTGCTTGTCACTAGCTATCTATTCTCTGATGGCAGTTGTTTTTGATCTTGTACCCTAGCACAAAAGCCCTGGTTGTTGTCTTTATCGTTAAATAGAGTCGATGGTTCGAATGGAACAGTTGAGTTACAGTCGATGAGCCCAGGGGGCTAGGAGTTGGTTATAGACGGCGACGAACGATGATGCTGCAACGGGGAGTGGATATCCGGCTTAGCGAAGCTGTTCCCGTGAGAACACGTAGAAAAACGTCTCTAGCTGATGGATTGCAGTTTCAGTCGTGCGAAGGAGTGGTGTGGTTGTGATGTGAAGAGGAGGAGAAAGGAAGAGGAGGGGGAGAGAGATAGAAGAGGTGGGACCCCCAGGGGAAAGCTGACTCTAGATTGACAGGACAGATGTGTCGGTATGGTGACAACGCAGGCTGGAAACAACGATGAGGGAGGTGGAAAGCACGAGAAAGAGAAGGGGCAAAATGCTGATATATGGATCACTAGTAAAATGGCGACTGCACCCGTCTTTCTAGGCGGGGGGGCCAGAAAGGGCTTTTGGTGGCCGACTGACTTAGTATGGCCGCGTCGTACAGCCCTCCTCCTGCTCTGCTTCTTCCCTTCCTTCCCTCCCTACTGCAGTTGCACTTGCTTGGTGCTGCTCCCACCTAAAGGCGGAAAAGGTGTGTGTACCTGGGTGTGTGATCAATCTGCCCAGAACATCGTGGGCGTAGGTTACGTGGAAGCAGACCATCACATTTTCGGCCTAGCGTCCCTGAAGGGAACCTTGTAAACCGCTCTAAATTGACGGGGTACAGGGGTACGATTCCTTGATGTTATTGGTTGTCTAATTTAAGTGACGTTGGCGCTGTTCTTGGTTGTGATCCTCCAAGTCCCACCGAGAGGCCGACCCACTCTGACGCGCCTGCCGACCATTAGAAATGCTCCAAAATCTTGCAGGTTTACTCGAAAAAGAACTCGGTGTGAGGGTTTGTGAGAGTGTGGATGGATGGCAAGCACCCCATACACACCTAAATCACCCATCCCATACCCACCCTTCCACAGCTTCCATCTCGTTCTAATTCTTCGTCATGTGCACCGGGTTTTTAGAGATGCAAAATGCAAAGCTAAAATACCCCCTTCTTCATCTTGAGCCAGCCAGCGCCAGAACTGACTGTCCTCCCTCTTTCGGCGTTTGCGGGCGCAGATAACGGCTATCGTTGTTCCTGGTAGTCGTCTTCGTGGAGAGCACGCGGCTTTCTAGCGAGCTGTGATCTCGTTTCCAACTCTCATTAAACGTTTTGACTAATTATTCGCCGCCCTGATGGAGCCCGCCGGCCGAAAACAAAGAAGGGGACAGAGTGTCAAAATCCACCACATTTCAAACTCACTCCTCAGGCTCAAAGTTCCTTGTATGATCTGTGTGTAAACATAATACATCCCACTCGTTATTACATACATGTGTTCTCTGATGGCACGGCCGGTAAGAGGAAGTACTTACATCTTCTATGTAAAGACCAATTTTCGAGACCCTTGAAATTCAAGCTTGTGGACCGTGGTCCTGTCCCTGGCCCGGCAGACTGCGCAACAGAGAGTCTCTTGCTCTCTTTGCAGGGCCCGTGCACGTACAAGTATCGATAATCCACAAAAATGGGACTCCAAGGTGTTCACGGTACCTTTGGGGACAGATTATGCGCCAAGTGTAACTGATGTTCGATGTCTCTCCTCTCCCCGGCAGAATTCCCTGCAAAACCGCTTTGCCTATTGATGCCTCCCTATAATCGTTTAAACGCAGTAATAAACGTTTCTAAGGAATCGGTTTCAGCAAATAGGATCACTGCAATGTCCATAAACATCACCAAAATACCTACCGCATCTTGTTTGAGAGGGTTGCAAAAAAACATTTTCCATGAAATTTCGAAACCTCCACCAACCCCTCTTCCAGCCAGCCAGCCCCCTACCCTAGTGAATGTAAGTAGGGCATGCTGAGGTTGTGGAATAACCGTCCTGGAGCTCACGCATTTACACGCAATCGATTTTTTTCTCCCCACCGTACGTACCCAACAACAAAATCGCCTGTCTCAACATTTCACGAACTTCCTTTTCTATCCTCACCTAACCTGCTCCGAGGTTCGTTGCACTGCCTGCAGTAAAAAGGTAATTCCATCATCACGACACAGCATTGAGTGGTGGCCCAGTTAACTTAACTAGACCCTGCCCATCTCAGCTCCTGCGTACGATCTGTCATAAAAGGGCCCACTACACGCATCGCGAAACAACCTTCTCTCTTGATCAACGCCCCCAAAAAGAAATCCCCAACAGAACAGCTCCAGTATCCAGAAGGAGGGCACCCGAAACAGCATATCAGCAGTTCGCAAAAATAGCCAAAACCGGTAATAGGTCTCTACTATTATTACAGTAAACAGCAAGCCAGTAAGTTAACAAATCCCCGCCCAACCAAAGGCCAAACAAGGCAACTTCCGCCTGAGCATCCTACATACCTCCGCCGCACGTTGATCTAACAACACACCACTTGCGTCCGTTAAATAAAATTCAGCCAAATATGCCCACATACAAGGCTATCCTACTGGATATCGGTTTGTCCCTCTTCTCCCATTCGTCCCCCCCTCTTCCATACCCCCTTTCGCCTCTATTCCCCACAGTTTCATCCACGGCGCCGCTCGACAAGGATGCCTCCTCGCTAACCGCTGACGGGTCTTGGCTTACATATATTTTGGGCATATTGTAGAAGGTAAACAAATTCCAAGGCCGTTAGAATGGTAAATGATTATGGGGAAGCCAAAATACGAGTTGTCAATCCATAAACAACTTCAAAGAGTATATTAGAAAAGCATCATCTTGCTGACATGTTTCGTGTGTCTGTTCACACACCCTCTGTTGTCTCAAGGAACGGTAAATACATCCCTCCCCGATCAACATGATCTTGCTGGCTTGCTCCCTCCCGTTGCAAAGATGAGGGGAAGAACACAAAAAAAGCAAAGCATAAACATGGAGTACCTTCCTAGAAGAAGTACCATGCACTCCAAGTTCCATTGGCTAACCTTAAGCTACGCGTGCTCGTGATGCTTCCCACGGGCTGCGTTCTTACGTGACAACAGGTGTGCTCGATCAGCTTCGTTCGCGATGTTCTTGTAAGTTGGGCATGCTAAGCATTTTTCTTCTTTATTCCCACGAAGGTTATTGGGGTGTCTTGGCTCTTCTCTTCGAGATCGGCAAATAATTCCATTACTTGGGAAACAGTGGTGGAAATAAGATGCGCGGTGATGGCAGGGTCAATTTACAACGGACCTAATTGCAACTGAGGGCGTTTGATCGTCATGAGCCATGGGCACCCCCCTTCACTATTTTGATCAACTACGTTTATTCTTTACGAAACGGTGATCGTCTCCAAATAATTTCCACCACGAGATTTACTAACGAGTTGTCTGTTGGGGTGTCGGCTGGGAAGTTCCCGTATGCCATTGCTGCTCTCCCGGGATATATCCGGTCCGAGTGGGATAGTCCATCCTTCAGACCTTACCGCGATGCCTTTCCTGAGGACGTAAGGGATTCTCCGGAACAGCTGATGAGTTACGTTCGAGAAGTCTCTGAGAAGGACATCAAAGTGAGTTGTTTGAAGCAGCTGCAAGGTCAGTAATCCACATTTCTTACGACGACGATGTCGTTGTCTTGTTGGTCCTGTCTTGCTTTATTTCCCGTTTACTTTTATTTTGCATCCTCCCATTTCCATTTCCACCCATTTCCTCACTTCAGAGCTCGGGGCTTCATTTGCTTTCGGCACGATTCCATTTCATTTAACATGAATGGGATTTTGGCACTTTGGCATGCCACAATCCGAGAGCTGTCCTGTGCTGTTTTCCTATTAAGGAAGTTGATCTCGAGCTTTCGTTTCGCCCGGGAAAAGACTTCTCATGCACTCCCGTTCCCCGCAAAGAAAAAAAAAGACGTTCCGAAACGGAAGCGAGCGCTTGGGTTCCCGTTAATTGTCTCGTCTACGCGTTCCGACATGTACATGCAACAGTATGTACAGTGAAGGGGTGGGCACGACAGGCAGAGGGCAGAAAAGCATTCCATTAGTTGCGTGACATATCATGTCATCGGGAAATTCATCCTCGCCAGAAGAATGAGATGATCGAATCACTCATCCTTTATCTCCTCGCTCCTACTCCTACCTACCTACCCCTTTGAGACATGAGAATTTTGTGTTTTTTTTCCCCTTCTCTTTCTCGTGGCTTTTCTTTGTTTGCATGTTGTCCATGCAACCACTGTTGAGTTTGTTTATGAACTTATTGTTTATTATGATTTCATTATCATTCCCTTCCTCATCCCTTTTACACTGCTTATCCATTTTCCATTCTGCCAAATTCACCGGCCCGAAAGTCAATTACAATGCCTGCAATCCCACGTCATCACTCTCTTCCATTTACACCTAAAGTTTGTGCACCTTCACTCTGTGCCCGCCCAGCAATGTCTCCTCTTCCTTATCCATCAGTACTCATCTTTGGGTCCTTGTGTTGGATTGGGCCCATGGAGATCTATCTTGTTTGATAAACTCCGATAAGGGAGGGGCGATAAACAATCTGCACGAAACAAAACCGAAATAATGTGTGTGACAATTAAACTAACTAATCTACTTTATCTTTAGGACTTATCTGGGAGTCTGGCTATCGTGATGGAGCCTACCAAGCACCAATCTACCCAGATGTCTTTCCAGCGATAAAGCACTGGTCCGAAGAGCTCGGACTGACGGTCGACATATATTCGTCCGGATCCGTCGCCGGTAAGACATACCTAACTAGTGCTTGCTCTGTTGTGCCCTTCTACATATCCTTCTTTCCTTTCTACTCTTCTGATACCCACATACCCTGTCCTGTTTTATTTCCCCTCTTCTCGGCGAGAACCCGAAGAACACAATCCTTAAGTGGACGACAAGCGTCGCTCATCTTTGTCGGGGTTGATGCTTCTTTCCGATTATCTGCCTGCGCTGCGTGACCAGCAATGTGGGCGCTCTAGAGTGGTTGGTAGAGAGTAGGTAGAGTAAGAATGCTTGCCTACCTACTTTACATCCATGGAGCATGCACAAGGAATACTCCCAAGAGTCCGGAGATGATTCCGCAATCAATGAAAACAAACAATGCTGGGAATCAATGCTCACATCATCACCGTCATCATTCAGCCCAGAAGCTCCTCTTCCAGCACACTGATGCCGAAGTCAGCGACATGACCAAATACTTCTCAGGTTACTTCGACACCGTGAGCGCCGGCCCGAAGACAGAAGCCGCCTCCTACAAGATCATTGCCGAAAAGACCGGCATCAATGCGGCCTCTTGGCTCTTCCTTAGCGACAACGTCAAGGGTTTGTTGCCAATATCTTCCTTTCCCCCAATCAATCATCAACCCTAGTCCCAATACCGTGATCATGCACTTAAGCTTACACCAACCCCACTACTCTACCACCACCACCTCTACATCCCTCCAAAAAAAACCTCCCTCTGATCTTTCTCTCACGCTGCATCTATCCTATCGCCGTCCTCCTACCTACACTCACACTTTTCATCTCATCGCGCGCATCCCCTCCCCTACCCCCATCCTCATCCCGCACAGTCCAAAAGGAAATACTACCCGCAAGGAGGCACATTTCCGCCCCGATCCTCAAAGCTTCTCATTCATCACCTCACCTCCCTCCCCACTAACATCAATGTGCATCTTTCCAGAAGTCGCAGCGGCAAAACAGGCCGGAATGGATGCAGCAATCGTTGTTCGTCCCGGCAACGCACCCTTGAACCCCGAGGATAAGGACGCACATCGTGTTGTCGAGAACGGATTCGACGAGGTGACGGCCTGGATCTAATTTTTATTTATTTATTTTTACCTTTTCTTTGGTAGTGGAGCGTGCGTAGGTACCCTTCCATGTAGCACTTTGGGTTGGGCTGTGCCACGAGTTTGCAGTGTGGAAGCGTGGCACTGTACCTATCGCTAAATTCCCGATTTACACATTTAGCTTAGTAAGGCAGCATTTAAATTTCAATGATGGGATAATCTACGACTCCTAGTGTTTCATTGGCGCAGGTGACCTGGTCACCTACTCTTTTTTTGAAGAAAAAATTTAATCACACTTGTCGCACCAGCCAGCCAGCCAGCGGGCAGAAATAGTAGCGCGCCTGTCTGCCTCCCTTGCTAATAAATACGCCCAGCTAGCCCATCCACCACCACCAGTAGAGTAGAGTAGAACTAAGTAGTACTGCTCCCAACTAATGTAGTCAAATTTCAATGCCATCCTGTACCGTGTGTACTGGAACTACTCTGTAACAGTAGCACTCTAATCTGCTCAAGATATAGCCAACACAACGAATCGATCCATTTCCAATATTTCCGCGTCAGGTCCCACCCCGAGCGGAACCCCCTAGAAAGTAGGTAGAGTATCGTACACCTGTCATCCACTGAAACCTTCAGCAAACCACACAGGGAGAGTAAAAAAAAAACCAAGCCTTTTTTGCCTGTTCCCCGCTTAATGTAAGCAATGTATGTATGGTAGGTGCTTACAAGGCAAGGTAGGCCTACTCTAAGTATGATGTCGAGAAAATCAATCTGCCGGAATTAGGATAGGCAGGCTGCGCTGCGCAGCGCAGATAGGCAGGGTGAGATTCATATTGCCCGGCCTTGGGCCCTGTCCTATCGGAAGCTGAGAGATCCACCTCGCGGGTAAGGACGAGGCCAGTAATTAAGCACGCCGTATATTGCATACCTACCAGTACACGGTAGGTAGGCACGCTGCTCTGTCTACTTACTCTACTCTGGTTTATTCAAGATCTCCTCCGTGATTGCGGGTGTGCAGTGAGGGTAATGATGAGCACATGTGATACCGGGTGCAAAAGCGGGTGCAACTTACTACTGGCTAAACGCCTGTGCTCGCGCGCGTGGTTCCTTCAGTCATGAACAATCACCCGGTGTCAAGTATTTGTAGGTGAGAAAATATTTCCTGACGTAATGACTCTCGGCGTTTACATCAACGCACATACAAGGCAATTAGTAAACACTTTGTTCAGGTTATGCCGGTTAACGTTTCAATCAACCTCATCCGTTTTGAAAATGTGGTATCAAAGTGTCATCTATATCGATCTAGCCTATTACTGCATCTAGGTTATACTGGTAGTGAATTGCAGCAGGGCTAAGCTACATGCACATAATAATTTATTAATATGCTGCGTTTGTGCAAGGGGGCTGGAGAAACGGAGTTGAGGAGAATATAAATAGTTGGAATATTGCCAGGATCCTTAGGTGGCAAACTTCTAGATCTTCAGAGGCACCAGTTATCATGTACCCATTTTTGAATTAAGGCGTTTGTATGTTTCGGCCATCACGGTTACCAAAGTACAGTTCCAGATGTGAATATGATGCGAGTGATATACCATGATCTAACTTACACTACGCAAGGTTTTATCGTTTCTCACCCGACCAAAATACCAATTTGTGGGAAGAGAAATATTACAGACAATACCTGGTCTGTGGAATTGCTCTGTTATGATGTTTCGATTGGTAATTGTGATTACTACGCCAAGCGCGGAAGTACCAACTATCGCGCAATAATTAAGCTTTCCCCGAAACTTATAGATCAAAGAAAGCCCTGGTTTTGTAGGGGCGGAGTTTCTTGTTCCGGCGTCAAATTTATGCCGTTTGTTCAAAGCAAAACGTCATTAAAATTGGCCATGTGTAAGCTTGAAACTCCGGGCTGGACCCTGTTTTGGTCCGGGGTTTGTGGGTGCCGAACCCGTTTGAAAATTCCGTTTGAACCGGCTTTTTGTGAGCGTTTTGAGATGTACCCCACAGTAGGCATCGTGACTGACGTTGAAGTTCGCTCCTAACCATCTAACGACTAGTACTAGCCCCTGTCAACGATTTTTCTTTATGAGTTACGTCACGTGTAAAGTAACCAAATTCCGCACCTTGAAAACATCCGTTCTACCGGGTTAGGCACGATATGTTTCCAAGGGCGCAGGGGAAGCTTTAGGCTTTCGTCCCCTTGCATGCTTTGCAATGAACTGTGAACGGTAGTGTCACATGATCCTGGAAAATGGGCTGTTTGCACAGCCGGCCTGCCCCGGTTTATGTTAGCTGTTTTGGCGGGAAAGCAGATCTAACGGATGAGCTTATCGGTCGTGAATTGTGGGGTGATTCAAGATTCTTACCTACCGCCAAAACTCGAAAAATTGGCTATCTCCGGCCAGGGATTATCACTCGAGTGATTGGTTGAATGGCATCGATCTGCATCAGAAGTTTCCCATACAAGTAATTTTGATCTCTGGAAGCTAGCCAATTTTTCGAGTTATGGCGGTATCTGGACAAAGTAGGCAGAAATGCCTTAAGGGCTGAACGCAATGTTTCACCTGACTCATGGTGTCAATGATCAACCAGGCCACGCCGGCCAGTGAGTAATCTCTCGTAGGCTCTGGATCTGATCAAAGATCACCTCGGACATTAATACCGTCCATAACCAGGGGATACATCGGAAGGTTTGGGAACCATCATACAGGTAGTTAATTGGTATCTTGGTGATGGATATCCGATGAGTCGTCAATGGCGCATTCCGCGAAGGGACCATAAGGTAATCAAGAGACAGTCTTTGAAGATAAATCCGCCGAGGAATTATGATCTTATCAAACTTGTTGAATTACCATCAGGTTTACTAGCTAGAATTGTAAGCATGATATCGAAACTCGTTTAATGCCTCGTTTCTTAGTAGTTACTGCTTAAGCTCCGGATATCTCCGAAGCAGATAGTAGCGACAGATGTGATGTTCCTATCTAATCAATTGATATTTTAGAATAGAAAGTATTCAAAATGACACTTCCCATGAGCGATATTCTTCAAAAATGATGTGTCTATGCCTAACGAATCAATCAGTCAAACGATGTATCTGTGTGGAATCGTAAATCGCTATCTCTCCAGAGTGGTCTGAATCAATAGAACATTCTAGAAAGTACTGGTGCTAGACACACTAAAAGAGTTGTGATCGAAAGACATGGCTTCAGCTTTTAGGTCGCCTGATTGCAACTAGTAGCCTTGCATGATAGTTTTCAATTTCTCTGCGTGCGTGGTTAGACTTGTACGAGGATCGACAGCCATGAAAAGTGATAACCGACTATAGAAAACCCGTTAGCTTTCAGGTAGAGTATAATGATAGGGTTCACAACACTGCACATACGCATAGCTCTCTCACTTAGCATGGTGTTTGGTTCAGGAGGTGGTTTCATCCGTAACTGACCGACTCTATGTCGCTTCGAATAGGCGGCCTTGAAGGCTTTTGGCTTAAGCTGATCTTGCCCAAAGTGCCAGTGGATGAGGTTTGATAAGATAATATGGGGTTGAAAAGGTGACGGCGATAGGGTAGAGTTGATAAGATCGATGTTGATAGGATGGTTGGTCGATAACGCCCTCAGTGTCACGTAGTGAGCAGTGAGCGGGTTGTGGGGTTTAATCGTTAGCCTGTATTTCCATCCCGACTGTTTCGTGGAATCCCGAACCTGCACGACGTTTGCATGTTGATAACTGACAGCCTCGATTCATAATCTCTTCATCACAGCTTTGCGTTGGCTGTACAGGTCGAAATTAGATGAAGTATCGTGTGTGCTCACTCTGTACGAACATATTCGCACTATCGGGAGATCCCGATAGGTATAGTATCACTTAAACAACCACTCGGGACTAGGCTAGTACCCGTTTCCGGTCCAGCAAACACTTTCAGGTCTTCAGATGCGTTTGATGTGTTTTGAAATTTAAGTCAGATAAACTATAGAAACACCAATTCTCACACCACATTTTCTGCTCACATGACTGGAGTTTACACAACCGAGTGATAGATTGTGAATCCAATAACCATATATGAGGAATCAAATGGTTATTCTTCTTGAGGCGAGAAGCACACACTTAGTTAACTGAGCCTAAACATTAATTCGCCAAGAATTTGAAATTCTAGTTCACAAACAACCAGGAGCCAGGGTGTTTCGTAAGATTAACTGCGGCTGAGTGCCCAGCTGCAGAACATTCGAACCTCGAATCAATCTACGTTGTAATATATACTTGCTTACCAGCAAAAGAACCAGAAAACGCGGCCGCCCCGGGCAAGGATAGTTTGTACGGAGTGGCGCTGTTCACTTATACAAATAATCCCTGTTTCCGTCACTTGCATTTTCTGGTTCTTTTGCTGGTAAGCAAGTACCATTGAGATATATCTTACACTCGTCGGAATTTAAGATTATCGCATGTCTCACGCACCCTTTTGCGACCTGTCAGCTTTACGTTCGATTTCAAATACTTTTTTTTTTTTTTTTCCACTTTGCGTGAATATAACACTTTGACTGAGGCTGAGTGTTTATAATTCCGTGGGTACATGCAAGACAAGTAATTATGTAGTATTAGGGCTTACTACATAATAAAATTATTGGCAATGACTGCTACTTAAATAGTATTGAATTCAGCTTACAGTACTTGTTCATGATAGAATCGCGGCCATACGTTTGAAATCTTCGAACCTAACCACAACGAGCAGTACCTTGGATCTAGTTTCTGAATGACCAGGAATATTGTATCACTAGAAAGAATTCAAGTACGTATAGCTACATGATATATATATATATATATATATAGTATTATATTGATTGATTAAACTTCCTGGCAGTATTCACCCAAGGAACTCAGTACATACGTATATTGGCGCATACTCTGAGGAAGGGTTTGTCCCAATAGAGTGCTAAGCTAGATATATAGAGCCACTCTGCAAAAGTGTTCGTGATTCCGATTTCAGAGTGAGACATTTCTCCATATGTAACTGCGGCGGACCATCAAGAACACCCC